TGTGTAAGTATTTCTATGGTTATGTCCATAACACACATACTGTACATCGAGATCTGTTTCTAAAAGGCAACCAAATACGGATTGCACAAATTGCCCATTAACGTGCCCATCATCGCAACTGCAAAGCGTTAGCATCCTAATTAAAAGAAGGCAATGTTAGCAGTTGCATCCCGTGATGAGACAGAAATATTGTGTCTGCAAAAAAACAACCGAAAGATTATCTTGCTCTTTGAACCCAAATTGGTCCACAGGCCATTAATATTGTCCGAACAAATTCTGTTAAAAAAAATATTCTTACAAATGTTTGGTGGAAAGGGGTTAACCTGGCGATTGACTTCGTGTGTCGATGGACTGTTCCGCGACTTTTCATGCTTGTATTGAGATTATTTAGATTCTTTTGGTGCCATAAATGTCCAAATGATGGCCCACTTTTTTTAGCTGTCATTTGTGGCCAGGTCGCTTCTGAAAAATAAATCAAAACCTCTGTGGGCTTTGCCTGGTAGGATGCGGATAGTTTAGTTTTATTTGTATGTGTTTGGGTGATTTGTTCACCTTTCTTGTACTTTGCACTACTATCATGTTTTGTATTATTTGTTGTAACGTTCTTACCTGCCGTTACTGGAAATCTGTGAAAAAGAGCTTGATAGCTCATCGGATTCCTCCATTATAAATATTCTGATTATAGTTACGGAGCAGGATTTTAAAAAAAAATGTATTTCCTAGTTAAGGCCCACTGTGCCTTGTATAGCTCTTTTTCAGAAGCGACCTGGCCACAAATGATAGCGCAACGAAGTGGCTTATCGTCATGTGGAAATTTATAGCAGTAGCCAAATACGCTTAACGCGTGTTAATTCTAAATGTGGAGGGAAAAACCGGAGGACCCAGAAAAAAATCCACTCGAACACAGGGAGATAGACATGCAAACTCCAAATATACAGGCGTCAGGGTCGAACCCACGACGGGATCGAACCCACGACGACCTTCTGCATACCAGGCGAGGGAGTTCACATCTCCTAGCCACCATGGCGCCCCAAATTGTGCTGCGCTGCGGGATAATCCTGTTCACAAACGTGTCCGATGCGAAAACCGCGAACAGCAATGGCCATGCACGTCTCGGTTATAAATAAATAGGCATGCCTCCTGCTCCGTCTGCCCAATGTGTCGCTTACACCAGTATCGAGTTTCCTGTACACCACTAATGGAATGTAAGATCACCTCACCAAACCTGTAGCATTGCAATGAGGTCAATCGCATGTTTGGTTTGACGTTGTCCATGGATAGGCAAGCGGCTGTGAATGGAAACGAGCCAACGTAATAATCCTCGCATGCACTTATCTTCAGCTTACCTCATTAATGGTGACATGATCGGTGCAAACTCTGTCATAGATAAAATACACGTCAACTGTCGTTACATATATTGATGCTCACTGCGATGGAACAAAAACAGAAATCTACGATTTTTTTTAGGCACTTGAAGAGTTTAGATTTTTCGGATAAGGTGACCGTGTATTTATTTCCCTTAAACAAAGAACTGTTTCAAAGTTTAAAAAGTGGAATTAACTTGTTAAATTGTATGGTGCAGGTGTACCCACAGGTGTAGTTGTTGTGTGTTTCAATCTTCATACAATTCATTAGCTGTGTGTGGATGTACTCAAGTCTTGTCACAATGTCTAATTGGTGAGGTCTGTATATATCGAGTACATTGCATAATTGTAACTGAGGCTGAGCATTGTGCAATATTCTGGCTTATGTAAATACTGTATTTATGGTGGGTAAGTCCAAATACGGTATATTAACTAGCCTTATGCGTGTCGTGCTGTAAGCTATCTGTACTATTACCTGTGACGAGCACGTGGTGCCATGGTGTTGTAGCTCATGTCGGTGTGTGCTGCGTGTAACTGCATGGACGACAATAAAGCAGTTTTACCGTGCGTTCTGGTGTTGGGCTTTTCATGGTGACGACGGCAGCGATGCTGAATGGGCGGTAAGCCACTCAACATGGACCGTGGCGTGCGCTTCGTGAACGAGCCGCTGGTGGCTCGTTGCGAGTTAGCTGATGCTCGGGGACGGACGTTCATCTCGGCTGAAGCTATATATATATAAAAGGGAACAAACCGCTGCGATTAACGTGACATATTGAACTTGTCTTATGAATGGAATTGCCTCTGATGATGACGGTGGTAATTTCTGACCAGCGACGGGGCCACCATCGTACGAGCCGGTGAAAGGGGCCTTGTAGAGTCAAAGTTCTAACTCTGCGAGAATTAACATCATCCACACGTAGAATTAAGTTAATACGTAATAAAGGTTTTCATTTTTTTGTCGGGTTAGATCGCGTTAATATAAATGTGTCGTTAAACCCGCCACCACCCAACAGCCAATTAGTAAGGTTTGTCACGTAAACAAAACGTGCTAATTAGTGACGACTTCAGCACACCACTGTTGGAGAGTTAACGCTCAACATTTACAATTTGAGTGACGATGCTTCGCTAGTGATTACAGCCAGCTTCATCAGGCGATTTGCCAAAAAACCCCGTCATTATTGATATCGGTCGCGAAAGCCTACATATGCAAATTCATGTTCATTGGGTTGCCGGGTCGAGTAGCAGGGATGGTGGCAGTGTTGAAGTGGGTAGCAGCTTCGGGTCAGGTAGTCGTGGGGTGTGTCGTGTTGCCTATCGAAAATATAGATCTGTGCAGGATTGTAGTGTATGATGTCACTGTGATTGGGTATCAACACCTCTATACGCAGTGTATGATGTCACTGTGATTGGGTATCAACACCTCTATAGGCAGTGCATGATGTCACAGTGATTGGCTACCTGCACCTCTATACGCAGTGTATAATGTAACAGTGATTGGATACCTACACCTCTATACGCAGTGTATGATGTCACAGTGATTGGCTACCTACACCTCTATAGGCAGTGCATGATGTCACAGTGATTGGCTACCTACACCTCTATACGCAGTGTATGATGTCACTGTTATTGACGACCTACACCTCCTATAGGCAGTGTATGTCACTGTGATTGGCTACCTAAACCTCTATAGGCAGTGTATGATGTCACAGTGATTGGCTACCTAAACCTCTATAGGCAGTGTATGATGTCACTGTGATTGGCTACCTAAACCTCTATACGCAGTGTATGATGTCACTGTTATTGACTACCTACACCTCTATACGCAGTGTATGATGTCACTGTTATTGACTACTTACACCTCCTATAGGCAGTGTATGTCACTGTGATTGGCTACCTAAACCTATATAGGCAGTGTATAATGTCACTGTGATTGGCTACCTAATCTCTATAGACAGTGTATGTCACTGTGATTGGTTACCTAAACCTCTATACGCAGTGTATGATGTCACTGTGATTGGCTACCTACACCTCCTATAGGCAGTGTATGTCACTGTGATTGACTACCCTACACCTCTATAGGCAGTGTATGATGTCACTGTGATTGGCTACCTAAACCTCTATACGCAGTGTATAATGTCACAGTGATTGGCTACCTACACCTCTATAGGCAGTGTATGATGTCACTGTGATTGACTACCTACACCTCCTATAGGCAGTGTATGTCACTGTGATTGACTACCTACACCTCTATAGGCAGTGTATGATGTCCCTGTGATTGGCTACCTAAACCTCTATACGCAGCGTATAATGTCACTGTGATTGGCTACCTACACCTCTATAGGCAGTGTATAATGTCACTGTGATTTGCTACCTACACCTCTATAGGCAGTGTATAATGTCACTGTGATTGGCTACCTACACCTCTATAGGCAGTGTATAATGTCACTGTGATTGGCTACCTACACCTCCTATAGGCAGTGTATAATGTCACTGTGATTGACTACCTACACCTCTATAGGCAGTGTATGATGTCACTGTGATTGACTACCTACACCTGTATAGGCAGTGTATAATGTCACTGTGATTGGCTACCTACACCTGTATAGGCAGTGTATAATGTCACTGTGATTGGCTACCTACACCTCTATACACAATGTATTATGTTACTGTGATTGGCTACCTACACCTCTATACACAATGTATTATGTTACTGTGATTGCCACTGGTGCCTTTACGGGCTGCAGTTGTGTAAGAATCTGATGAAGGCCACACTGGTGCCATGGGAGCAGCCACTGCTAAGTTGTGTTCGTGCTTGCACAAGGCAAGTCCGAGTCTGGCAATTGCCACTTGTGTTTCTCTTAGAAGTCTGTTACATACACGCGCTTGCAGCCATACGTACACATTTTCAAATTTTTATTTCCTGTCAGTAGAATGTTGACAACTGAATATGAACCAGATAAACGACACGCTTTCCACGTCACATTCCGAACTATGTCTTTATTATTTAAAGTATATAGTTAGGCAAACTACACTGACATGATGACGTTTCACAGCAATAAAACAACAGCAGGGACAGATGTCTACGCCTCTCACACACCTTGACATGATAACAAGGCGGTCATTTCCAGCGGATCACTACTTACAGCAAAACGTTCCAGCCAAACGACTTCCCTTTTTATCGTTAACTTGGTGGTCCCCAAAGCACTTTGGACCGAGAGTCAGAACGTTTCCTCATGAATATTTCTCACATCCCAATCAATGATAATTATTACCCACGTTTTCCACAAGGAACGCCTCGCCGAGCCTCAAGACTTGTTTCCAGGGGGGGGGGGGGTCCTTCCAAGTTGTTGCAGTGAGGCGCTATGTTTCACAAACACCGTCTGCAAGTAGTTTCACATGAGGATGCCGATGTGTGGCTCTCTACGTAATCCCGATGGAATGACTTTAAGGTAATTCTGCACATTGTGCGTTTTTGTTAAGGAATGAAGATTCATTCTAGATTTGAAGCTTTCGTGACTGCAAGGATTCATACTCTTTGGTTTTTTCGGTAAAGTCACGTAGGTAAAAAATAAATAAAATAAAAATAAATGAAAACTGAATTTTAATAAAATAAATGAAAACAACTAAATTTAGTTATTTTCATGTATTTTTTTTAGTTGTTTCCATTTATTTTTATTTTATTTATTTTTTACCACGTGACTTTACCGAAAAAACCAAAGAGTAGGAATGAAGATTACTTTCAATGACATTACCACATTGGTGTGGGTGCACTGCAGAACGCCATTTGTAATTTTTGGGGCCGACAAAGCGTAATTGAATAAAAACGCAGGTCCATGTTGCTGATGGTGCACACACAGCCCATTAATGGCCCTTGGCTTTAGAACTGCTTTTTGTGTGTTTAGTTCGTTGTCCTTCCCCCGCACCTTCGATTTGCATGGTCGGCTACGTACGGTGCGAAAGACGTTCAACATACATACGAAGGGGCCTCCCCTACTGGGAGACCTCATTTCAGGCACAACAGGCAGGTGCCCCAGCCACACACGAATGCCGTTAGGGACGTGGTAGCACTTCATATATCCCCCACCGCCTTCCAACCCTCACGACTGCCCACTGCTTAGGCCACTAACGTCTGTGGCAGGGCCTCATGATGCCTTACTTAATACAGCACTTCCATAGCATTGCTATTTAATATATTTAGCAGATTTCTAAAAGCTACACACTGAAATCATTAACTTGTGCTCTTAGGGTCCGGTCCATATGATTGATATTTGTGTATGAGGCATTTTTCCTGTGCAGCTCATGACGGCATTTTTTTTAAACATGACACCGGTACTTGGCATGTTGCATTGGTTCAAACAGTTGCCACACCGATTGCCAAAGCAGCGCTCAAAGCCACAACAACATAAATCACACACACGCGTGTCACAGAGAAAGATACATGTGCTTCAAAGGACCAATGCCTTAGCTACTCACCGACCATCCACCTCTATTAAGCCCGTTAGGCGATTCAACAGGACTCGACAAAACGCCACAGATAGAAGGCATTGCAATGGCTGTGAATGAAGGGGGAAAAAAACATCAATTAAATTGCAATCCATTACAAAGAGCTGTGACTTGTACATTAAAACGAATGTAATTTTCTACGATTAAAGCTTTTATGTTTTGCCAAATAATTTATATCGATTATCTTAAATAATTTATCGTGATAATATCCAAAGCCACACAAACGTGCATTTGATATCAACACAAGATAGGAACTAGCGTGTATGTGTGTGTGTGTATATATATAAAATTAAGTGTGGGAAAAGGCACTCAGGAAATAAGTTTCCGATTTAAAAGCAGCAACATTCACTTGCAAGGAAACTCACACAGTGCCAGATTTCTACTAAGCTCCCAGTAACTTTTTAACCATGTAGCCTGGCATGTTGTAGAGAAACAGAGCTAACATAGCCAGGAGGAGGAGTGCCAGCACGATTTTGACAATGAGCCACTTGTAGCGGTGACAGATTAGATACTTTATCGATCTGAGGGGTGTGAGGAACCACATGAATGACGTATCTGGCCGGCTGTCCATGCAGGCGTTAAACAAAGGGGAATAAAACATGGAACACATGAATCACACGGCATCGCGGGTTCACTACAGCATACACATAAAAAAATACCGCACAATAAAATGCAATTGCAAAAGCATCAATGTGAAGCCATATCTGACTTTATATTGCGACGATTAAACACGGTTAGCATGGTTGGCTACAGACGGTGCGAAAGAAGTTTGGCGTACATGCATATACGATTGGCACATGCACAGCAAATAAAAATACAGTGGTTTTATTCCGTTATCAGTTATTAAGTGGATTGCACTATATCATAATTTCCATTGATCGCACTCGACGGGAAAAGAGTGCTTCCGTAATGATCTAGATTAATATAGTGTGCACGTGACGTCATGTTCATGTGCACATTTTAACCTACGGATGTTTTCAGTCCCAGTTGCTACACATTATACATGGGATTTCAGTTTCAGTTTCATTTATTTTGGTATAGCCCTGTGAGCCATTCAGCTCTTGAATCGGGTGCAACCACAAAAAACAAAAAAAACATGAACAAAAAACCATCTTAAAGTGACTATGTGACTGTGCAAACAGAAAAATCCAGGAAAAAACAGCAAAAATCTTCGAGAAAAAGCATCGTACACCAACGCTGTGTGCAAAAATCCCAGTGGGATGCAAGTCAAACAACAACAACAACAACCACAAGACAACTTAGATTAAAGCCATCAGTCTAACTCCGTACTACAACAAACAAACATGGCCAAACCAAAAAACTTCTCGAAATAACCAAAATGAAGCCATAAAAGCAATGGAACAGTGACCATTTACTTGAAGCAGCCTGACTGAAGCTACTGCAGGTTTCCTGAGCCCTAATGCTGTACAGTGAGTTGTTCATAGCCTTTGCCTGCTTCCCTTGTAAGGGAGGAATACCAATTCACAGCACTCGCCACCCGACCATGAGACCGCAGCTGTCTGGATAACGCCTTACAGCCTTCAGTTTCGGGGCACGTTTCTGTCATTTTAACCACGCTTTTGTAACGTGCATCCTCGCCCAAGTTATCTTGCCAAAAAGGATGTCGTTAAAGTCCTGATGCACATTGCCAAGCAGAATGTAAGTGATTCCAATCAAAAGAATTAAATCAAAAGAAAGAATCCACCGCATGGAATCTCCGGTGAATCTCAAACTTGGATAAAAACAAGGCACCGGTTGGCACGGTGCAAACTCGTCATCTCATCGTCGTCATAGCGGCAGCAGCACGCACAAGCCAGCGTGGCATGCCAAACCTCGGAGGTACAACGTTTTAGATGACGTCCTGTAACATTTATAGCAGTGTCATGTTCACTGATGCATCAGAATAGGGCGCTATCACAGCGCTGATGTTCACAGGGAATGTGGAATGTGAGAGGTCGTGCTACTCACTTGGGTTTTTCCAGAGGGTCTGGCTCATTGCGGCCCAGTCCCGCTGGACTCTTCTCAGCCTCCTCTGAAGTCAGCAGATGAATCTCCGCCTCGACTTTTCCCTGTCAGGAGGGACAAAGCAGGCCCACATTTCTGCATCCGATACATCCTTGTTCTCCTACGTCGGTGCTCGTGATGTTGTTCTGCGGTGTGGTGACGATGCGTCGATTGGTGTGGGGACTATCAGCAGCTTTAAAATTCACCATAATATTTTCAACTCATAGCACGCACAGTATTCGCTCGCTCTCATAGTGATAGAAAACAAAATTCAGAGGCACAAGGAACCATAGACAAGCAGGAGGCGGCCATGTGATGATCTGGTGCCAACAACTGCCCAAGCTTTTGCGGTCCTCTATATATTAAGGTGTTTTATTGGTCAGTTAATGAGCGTTACGAGCATCAATTTGCGTGTTGAAAGAGCAACGTTTTTTTGGTTCGTATACGTTGTGTGTAATGGGTTTACGTGACCCACACAGCCACTGCAGGGGGAACCATTCACTGCGATGTTAAAAAAAGAGAAGAGAGGTGATTCTTGAATCGAACCCTGTTGCTGCATCGTGGCGATTCACTGAATCTCCAAGGCGGTGGATTGTCGTTCCTCGTACCGTAAGCTCCAGCTCGTCGTTCTCGTTGCGGGCGGCGAAGGGCCACCAGCCCTTGATCCTCTTCTGCTTGAAGATGGAGATCATGGGCACCGAGCCGTCCGTCTTGAGCATGTCCAGCGAGCACAGCTTGGAGGTCTTCGCTCCGCGCGGGAAACGATTCAGGTCCAGCTCGATGGCACCTGCAGCCCTCCAAGAGACGCAGCGACCGTTACGCGCGCACCGCCGTTAAGGGGGCGCTTACGCAGACCGTGTAGACGCAAACTGTGCAACGCTTTACCCAGCAAGGCTCATAGACATTATGAGACCTCCTTTGCCAGAAACAAGATATAGGAATAGATTTGTGCCAGTTAAAAGGGTAAAACCTATTCCTATATCTTGTTTCTGGCAAAGGAGGTCTCATAATGTTAATGCTCACCAAGAGCCCTCAATACTCTGATAGTGCGCTATTTTTGAGTTGTACGCCTTTTGGCGTCTTCTGGTCCAACACCAATGGAGACTAGGCTCTAAGAAAAGCTGTCTCGGGTGGAGACCAATCAAATTCAAGGACAGTGCATATTATTATCAGAGTTGTATTTTTTGTTTGCATTTTGACTGCTTGTGTTGTGGTCATTGCAAACATGATGCCTTGAATAAAGGTGTCAGTTTTTGTGCCAGTTAAAAGGGTAAAACCTATTCCTAAGGCTCATAGAGCTCGAGAATTTTTTTCTGCAAAAATCTGCTTTGGATGTTTACCCATTCACCATTTTCCAGCGCAGCGATACGCCGCTTCACGCCGGGGATGCGTTTACTGGAAGGTGCGTCGACGAATATCGAAACGACGTCAATCAAAGCGATGTACAGGGTAGGTCTTGGAGGAAAAGGCCGAGGCGGCGAATACGAGAAAGGATGGACGATGCTGTCAGCGACGTAAGTGCGGGGTTGAGGCAACGCAAATCGGGTAGCGGTGTTAATAATAAAGTGACGACGTATTTGCGAAACGACGTAAAAGAGGGAGACGTTAATCGGGGTGTTACTGTGGCTTTATGGGTGACGATGAATCGGAGGGCACACGTGAGGGGAAGGCACCCAGACTCAACGGAGTGGTGAGCAACCGCCTCGTCATGGCTCCAACAACAACCACCGCCTTCACCTTGCAGGATGGGTCTCTTCCACACACACTACCTGTCTGTGATCCACCAACCTCACTTCCAAGCCAGTGAGCACCAGGTTGTGCACCTCCACACATGAGCATAACACTACGTGACACGATTTTTGTTCCTGGGTAGTAAGTGTTATTTTCGAATTGCTTATGCCTCAAAAGTATATAAAATGGATATTATTCGCCACAAACTTTGCTTTTGTGACCGGGACTTTACGTGAAGGAATGACACAAATGCACACCACGTTTTCTCATTGAAAATACGTACATTTCTAAATATCACTGTCCTGGTCACAAAAGCAAAGTTTGTGGGGGAATAATAACCCCTTTTCTGTACCTTTGAGGCGTAAGCAAATAGCAAATAAGACTTACTACCCAGGAACAAAAAAAATTGTTTAGGTGTATAATCAGTGCAAAGTGCTGCCCACTATTAGCTGTGGGTGAAAGGTCATCCCACGGTGTTCCGCGTCTCCCGGAGTGCGCAGAACGCACGACTTGCAAACCGTTTGGATGCGTGTCGACTGATTGCGCGGTTCGCAGTGAAAATCCAGGCAATTGGGCGGTCCTTGGTGACTTGCGCACCAACGCTATTCCACTGTCAATCTAAAGGCAGTGGGCTATGTCGCTGCTTCTTCTTCATCATCATCATCACGAATGGTGAACAAATGAAAAACGTAACCAAATGTAATATTGTTATCGCAAAAACATGTACCTTAGTGTATTGCCAAAACGATGTTGCTCACGTAAAAATGCACATGTCATAATATTACCAGAAAATGGTACATACGTATCACGATATATACATACAGTAGCACATGTAAAAATATATATAATAGGTTTTACCCTTTCTGGCAATAAAACAGGTGTTAATATGTTCAAATGCCAAATAGATGTCTTTTCAAAGGAACCAAGTCTGCATTAACCACACACTACTTGTGGTAAACATGCAAACAAACATGCTCTGTTAATAGATGTGTTGCGCCATAACAAGGCGCTGTAGGTCGCTTTACCTGCCACCACGGTCACGGGGTTAAACCCACCTCGGGTGGCCCGTGACCCGGAGGTTGACACCCCAGACCCCCAAGGGCTGGGGGCTGGGGGGGGATAGAGACCTCCCACCGATTTTAAGACCCTTTGTTTTATATATATTTTATTAGTTTATTGTTTCCCTTCAACGTGACGTTACCGAAAGAACCAATAATATAAATCACTGCAGTCACGAAAGCTTTAAATCAAAATTTACCCTTTAATATTTTTGACCTTTTAAGACCTTCCAGAAGGTTCTGGAAGGGGGGGGGGGGTCTATAGGGGAGGGCTAAGCCCCGATCTGGGGCTAAAAAGCCAGCCCTCTGAAGGGGTCTGGCAGTGTTCGCCAACTCAAGCCTGAAGACGTCCAAGACCTGAAGATTGGACCAGCACCCTGGGACCCTCAACCGAGGTTCTTGTCAGAGCCGGGTTGTAGCGGACCGGTGGTGGGACCTGTACCCTGTCTGGGTCGGGTCAGTCTAGCCTCCCTCAGCGGCCGTGGAAAGGTACCTGTGTGTAGCGTAGCCCGGAGTGTGTAGTGCGCGCTAGCAGGGAGGCTGTAGCTCCCTTAGGCTATCGGGTTGAAGGGGCCGTACCCCTTCGTGTTACAGTCTTGTCAGTTGGGTCTGTTGGTTAATAAACGCGTTGCCTCCAGAAGCCGTCACCGTGTAGTTAGTTAGACACACAACAGATGGATTGTCTCGGAAACTGATTGGCCTACACCAGAGACGGCCTTCTTTATGTCCTTGTCTCACCGGTGTCAGACCAGAGAACGCCAAACGGTGACCAGTACAAAGACGATGCACGTATCAGAGAATGTATAGTCCCATGATACAGCAGCACATGTACACAATATGGTAGTGTGCAAGTCATTAACAAAATGCCAAACGTTAATTATGAAACGACAAAACGTGTGAAGATCACTTTTGTTGCTCATCGGAAGAGCGAGCGACTCGTAAGCGGAAGGTTGCGAGTTCCAATCCTGGTCCGTAGTCGATTCAACACATCATCCATCCCACTGAGGGTAAAGTCAACAGCGATGGCCCTAAGAATAGACCCACCCCCGCCATAGGAATGTGGAATTTTCACCACTGGCTCAGGGCTATAAAAAGAGATCAGCACCTTTCCTTCAATACACACTTGAGCAGGAGATCACGTTGAGTTCTTGTTGTTGCTGCTCTTGAGATGTTATCTCCCTAACCTGGTATGGAGGAGGTCGTGGGTTCGATCCCGAACTTGACACCTGCTGTATATTTGGAGATTTCATGTCTCTCTCTCTCCCCATGGGCATGTGGATTTTTTTTCTCCAGGTCCTCCGGTTTTTCCCTCCACATTTAGAATCAATATCACGCATTTAGAGCATTTGGCTGCTATAAATTTCCACCTGATATGCCACTTCGTAGTATGTATGTTTGGAAAATACAGTATGTAGCCAACCGTGCTAATCGGAGGTGCGAAGTTGCGCTACCCTTTGTGATAGCCAGGCAGCTTCATAACACAATACCTAATAGCTCAGTGGGCCTTACCTGGTAAAATAAAAAAAATAAGCCAGAGCCGCCCGGGCACGTACCCAGGAAGTCGTCAGCCGAGAAGTGGTCGGCGTCCCACACCTGCAGCGTGAGGCGCGCAGGGATCTTGTACTCAGTCTCGTCCCACGAGAACACCGACTCCTTCTTTGACATGACGATCTTCTCCTCCGCCACGAGGTAGTCGAAGGGGAAGACGAAGCGCCAGTTGAAGTTGCCCTCGCCCGTCACCGAGTTGTAGTGCACGTCCGTGTCCTGCTTGTCCTCCTGCTGCCCCTTGAGCCAGCTGCAGGCACGCGGCGGTGGGGCGGTGGACGGTTGGTGGTGGGGGGGGCAACCGCACGGAGACTCGAGAACCGGCCACTGCTGCACAACGGCCTCCCCCAATGCCTCTGCAGGTCATGGGGGTCATTTGATCTCACGTTCAACAGCCATGCATGTATATTTATGTGCTTCCGTTTTTAAGGCACCGGTTGTTTTTTAACTACCATGGGTAAACTAGTGGGTAGACTAGTGGGTAAATTCTGTACAGCCTTCGGTTTCTTGTGCTGCAGATTTGCTCCCAATGCAGGTAGGGACAGTGCCAAGCCATCGGAGGACACTCAGTGGAAATTATCTCTGTGCTGCGTCTTGGGACGACAGTAACACCTCCATATGCGTACATTCGAAAAAAAAAACAAAGTTTAGCTGTCACTAACTTTGGATGTAATACCATTATTTTACACAGAAAGCTAAAAAGAAAGTGAAATCATAAATAAATGCACTGAAATTAAGCCATGTACGGCGCTATGGAGTTTGGTGGGCAATGAAACCTTATAACTGCACCAAAGACTACACTGGTGAGTGCGGATATATTTTACAGTACACTATATTTTATTTGTCAGTTTCGTTTTTGTAATATTGTACAGTATAACAAAAATATTATTTTAAGAAAAAATGTATATATGAATGGTAAGCTATTAAGCGTTCAATCTGATTTGAAGCTTTCGTGACTGCAGGAACCCATACTCTTTGGTTCTTTCGGTAAAGTCACGTAGGTATAAAATAAAATAAATCACAGTATATGAATGATAAGTTACGAAGGCTGGGAATGCATCCTCATAGTACTAATGTTATAAGTTATTCAATACACGAACAAAGCTCCAGGAAAACATCTACTTTGTATATCGAGGTATTACAATATATCCTGGGCAAGCTACATAAATTATGTACATCGCAGTCGTGCAAAATCATTAAAGTAATATACTAATTACAATATTTAGTTTTATTATTAAATGCTGAGATTTTGTATTTATTTTATATTAAGACACGAGTTGAATTTTGTATCCTGCTATATTTATCATGAATCCAGGGTCCCCTTGAGCTTCATGGGACCCCACTCCTTTGCTTGGCTTTGCTTAGACCAAGCGGCCCCACCGACGCAGTCTCCCGACGAGTTCCACGTCAAGGTGGATGTAGCCACGCAGCTCTGGGAGGGCATGAGAGCACGGCTGTAATGTGCAGTGAGTAACTAGAACTATTTTATTTTTATTTTTCTAGGTAAGGCTCACTGGGATATATAGCTCTTTTTCAGAAGCGACCTGGCCACAAATTATTTCTGAACGAAGTGGCTTATCATGATGTAGACATTTATAGTAGCAGCCAAATACTCGGAACGTGTGATGTTGATTTTAAATGTGGAGGGAAAAGCCAGAGGACCCGGAGAAAAATCCACACAACCACGAGGCTAGAGAGACATGCAGACTCCAGATATATAATTGTCAAAGTCAGGATCGAACCCAAGACCTCTTGCATAACAGGCGAGGTAGTTCACATCCCAGAGCATTCTCACTGAGGCCCAACACTGGCTTTCTCCACTCAGGGATTCCGGCTACGGTCACCGTCTACGTATAACAAGCGTCAAGTGAAGACAGACGTGGAAAATATTACAAACGGAAATGAAAATACGTCGCACAAAACTGTTTCAAAACCTGGAAATTGTATTCAATTGTAACGTACACATCTCTAAAAGTGCTGCTATACAACACCATCATCATCGGCCATAGACCAGCATGGTGAAGTATGGTTAAACAACTCCCATGGTTGTGGCATAGTGGTGGCAGTGACATGGTCTATATTGGTAGCAAGTTCGCTGCTTGTTGCAGAGATTCGTGGTTCGAACCTGGCGGCCGCCATGATTATTACTTCCGGTGTAAAGCCATAATACAACTAAACATCAGTTTATGCCCAGGATGCTTTCCTGAAAACCAGAACGTAAATTGAAAGTACTTGCATCGAAGTGAACCTAAACAGAAGATACATACTCAGTAACCTATTGTGCATCTATACTGGATAATCATCGGTGTTAAAAGTAAGTGTGCATTATTGATATCTTAAGATATATTACCTTGCGTATTATACTATATGTATTATTATTCGATGTTTATCATATAAATGTTTTAACACTTGAAAATCTTTTTTATGCCATAAATACGATATGTAGGGGAAATAATAATAATATAAATAAGAGAAACTATAGCCAGTCAGGGTATCAATAAGTTGAGTACGTTATAGCGCAAGTACGTAAAGCAGGAGGGTGTTACTGTCCGTGCCCTCTGCTTCACAGTGTACGTTAAAGATCACCAAGGGCGAGGCGTTGTGTGCCGGCGTCGGGGTCTAAATGAACACAAATTCAAAAATGACTAGCAAAGTACTGAATTGGGAATGTACAAAGCAAATGAATACTGGCAGAATAATGCCCCAGGTCACTCTTGGAAATGAGACTCATCGTGGCCTCTTGAATTCTCACCTGGTTAAGGAAAATGGACTTGAAATCTGAAACTTCGTGGGGAGGATTTCACCCAGGAGCGCACAGACAAAGCACTGGGCGTTATTATTGTCATAGCATACGCTGGTCTGTAAGCCACCAGCGTGAGGGTAGTGCCACGTAGGATGGCAGAGCTTTTGTAAGGAGTCAGCAGAGGGAATGGCGTTTTTACTCTGCGGCATTCCGTGGCAGTCGGTGGGGGCACCGGAAGAAAAATGTGCATCTCAATGGCGCTCTTCGCGAGACCTTAATCTCACCTTCGAACAAAGATATCGGAGGACTTTTCGCCCGTCAGCAACGAGTCGTCTTCCAGAATGACGTCATCAGTGTTCCAAATGATGACGCGCATCTCCAGGCTAAACACAAAGCGAGACGTGGCAAAGTCAACGGCCAAAAAGTCCGATACGAGAAAAAAGCAGCCGCACGAGTTACCCCCATCACATTAAATTGATTTGAATGTGTACAACGCTCTCCTTCATCAACATACGCAAATCTACGTTGCTGTTTAAATCGCTAAAATAACCAATTCGGGCAGAATGTGGCAATGAGGCAGCAGCTACATTGGACTGATGAACCCTAAGTGTGTGGTTTTTTTTATTAATTTGACCCGAGCGTCCAGAAGGAGCGAGGCGGAGGTGCTGCAGCCGGCTTGGCGGTACCTCTTGGGCTTGCGGGGCGCGATGTCGATGGGAGGGCCCGGCCGCGGCACGTCGGCGGGAAACATGTCCACCCACATCTCGATACGACCCTGGAAGCACAAACCCCATGCCATGGCCGGCACAATCAGCACAGCCGCTAGGGCCCTTCAACGCACTTATCCGACGGTGGCGGCGGCGGCGGTGGCGGCGGTGGCAAGCCTGTCAGAGACGATCTCAAATTATTCCTTCAACACAGCTTTACCCATTTTAACACACTGATGAATGCAAACTTTTTTTTAATACCTTTGCAAATGTTTCATTCGCAGCAAACTATTTACAATTCTTTGTTAAACATTTTTTTATTTTTTATTTTACCAGGCAACGCTCACTGAGCTATAAAGATATTTTTCAGAAGCGACCCGGCTGCTAATGATAGCCCAACGGAGTGGCTTATCACGTGGAAATTTCTAGCAGCCAAATACTCTAAACGCACGATGTTGATTCTAAACGTGGAGGGAAAAACCGGAGGACCCGGAGAAAAATCCACGCAACCACGGGAAGAACATGCACACTACAAATATACAGACGTCAGGGTCGGGATCGAATCCACAACCTCCTGTATACCAGGCGAGGTAGTTAACATATCGTCACCGCAGCGCCCTTTGTCCATTCATGTGGATCCGATCAACCTGGAGCTTGTGGCTCATTTATATCCCAGATGATGTCGCTGTAGTATATGAAAAGTGTGCATTCCACAGGATTATGCAAGAATTGACATGAACATATCACTGGTATGGTGGAGTCAGAGGCCCCTCACCAACAGGCTGTGACAGTAATTAGATAAACTCAAGCTTAGACAAACATTGGAGGACAAAGAGGAGGCCACGGACACAAGTGCGTCTCATTTTGTTTTGCATGCAAGATATGTTCATGGTACCCAGTCATGAAATTAATAAAAACCGTAACTTTTGTAGACATTGTCATTTAATCACTGGCTCCTGGCGTCGCCTTCTTCACTGGACCGTGGACACGGCGAGTCTTACTTTCTCTCGGAGGAATCTCATCCCTGCCCAGGTGTGTCGGTCACAGGACATGAAACCAGCTCATGCACATGTGCTTGGCCTATTATTGACGGCTTGGGAAAGGCCTTCATCCGGCCGGCGGATTGATCGCGGCGGCTGGTGACAATGACGGCGCCTCGTCACCTGCTCGATGCCGGGCTTCTCTGGGTGCAGCAGAGGCCTTGTCTCGATGTGCTCGGGAATCAGCTTGCAGGCCCCGGGGATTTCCTCCCAGTGGTGCAGTACCGTCAGCGCCATGTGCTCATCCGTTGGCTTCTTCTGACCTGCAGAGGCAGCAGCAGTGGCAGCGGCGACACTGCAGTCAACGCGTTCACCGCGGGACGAACACGAGCCCCCGACTGCACCACCCACAAATACCGTGCCGGCTAAACAAGCAGGAGCGGAACATCGCTGAATACTGACCACTCAGGCTCTGTGCATAGTCATAGACAGTGACATTTCACGGTTTTTGGTGAAAACACAACATAACTCACTGCTTCTCCGATCACGCTTTTTCTGAATAGTCGCAATTCCCTATAAATGTGCTGAAACATTTGCTAATTAGAAAAAACCTGCCTTGATGACAGATCCGAATCAGTTCTGACATCGTCATATATGTGCCCTATTATTATTATCGACACTCCCCTAGATGCTGATCGTTTTGTGGGATTCCAATGGGAATCCACACATTCCACAATGTGAATTGGGTAAAAAAAAACACATGATCAAGATTTTAGTCCACCCTATTGCAAGAATTCTGCCATGAGTATAAACCCAATTTAGTGAGCACCTTTAACAGGAGGTCACAGAAGGCATCTGACTTATTGGCCTTGGCTACATCCTTCCACTGTTGTTCATCTTCGGTGGGGCATAAGCAACCACCAACATCCACTCCTCACCTCCCGTTGATGTGGAGGTGAACTCACAGTAGCCTGGGACTTAGAGCTTCCCACACCTCACTGCCACGCTCCAACACCCCCTTCATTCTTTTTTTTCAGAAGAACAGCCACTCCCTGTTGTTTGGCATTCTCCTGCCCCGAGTAGAGGGGTGTTTACTACTCATGGTGGCTGGAGCCAGAGCCGGTCCTCCGGACCTCCTGAATACTGCAGAGATCCAGGCAGTACCGGTCCAGCTCCCGACAGAGGAGTGGCAGCCTGTACCCCGAGGGTACAGGTTCAGTCTCCTGGCCCCGCCAAATGGGGTTTGGCCAGGAAATATCATAAGACGCCTGCCCTCCTGAGGCCTCCGGCATAAGCTTAGCTAGAAATTATTCACGGGGCATCGTGCTAATTGAAATGCAGGTGGAGGGGTTACCAGCACCTCGCACCCGTCCCGAGCCCACACACAGAGATTAGAACACACACGCACAGACTGGAACATAAACGCACAGACTGGAATACACACAAAGACTGGAACATACAGACTAGAACACGCAGACACGAACTAAAGCGCGCACACACACACACACAGACGAGAACACACAGACAGACGAGAACACACAGACAGACGAGAACACACAGACAGACTAGAACACACACGCGCACACGGACGGGGAAGCACCGCGGGAACGCTGTGCAAGTGCTTGAGGGCGAGCGCCCCCCCTCACCGTTCTCGTCCTCCACCTCGGTGGCGGCAGTGAAGGTGCGGTTGGCGACCTTGACGCGCCCCTCGGGGCTGTACTGCGGCGGGTCCACCTTCACCTCCTTGCACAGGCGCGCCAGAATCTGGCTGGGCTTCAGCGGGTCCCTCCACATGTTGTAGCCGTGTCTGCACCACGGCGGAGGGACGCCGCGTCACCGCCGGGTTGAGCGAACGCGTGCACAGCACACGTCCGCCGCGACGGTGCGGCCCGGTTTAGCGTGCCCCGTGGGGGGTTGGGGAATTCTAACTTCCTGAAACTCGACGACTAAACGGCGTGTAAGCGGCTGTGCCGACGACTTGTCCAGCTGCGTCTCCACAGCTGATCGTGTCCCTCGCCAGGCAGAAGACGCACTTCGGTGCTGTACAGGGTGCCCCAGATGTCTTGTGACCCCCCCTAATTAATCGATTCCTAACATTCTTGCTTTTAATAAACCTTACTTCAAAAAAAGAGAAGTTTAAGAGAATTAAATGGGGGGGGGGGGGGTCACAAGACATCTGGACCACAATGGACATTAACTGTACCTGTAACTGTACTATATCTGTATTGTACAGTAACTGCTGGAGCTTTTCAGACCGAAACAAGAGGAGGATTTCTCAACAATTTTGACTGTCGCCTGATGAGGCTGGTTGTAATTACTGGTGAAACGTCGTACTCGAATTGTAAATGTTGTGGGTTTACTCTCCAACACACCGGTGTGCTGAACTAGTAACGAATTGGCATGTTCTGTTTACGTGACAACCCTTACTAATTTGCTGTGTTGTGTACCAGCGGGTTGAAGGACACATTCATATTTATGAACTGCTGTAGCATTAGATTGCGCCTTCTAGAATCGTCTTGCGATTTCTGTTGGCTTCAGTGGTGTTATTTTTTTCCCTTCTTTTGTTGAGATTTTAATATTTTAATATCAAGCTCCAAATGGGCTCAATGCAAATAACGGGGTATGCGTAACAAAGTGGCTATACTGGGGCGCCCCACCCCTGAATCCGCTCGCCGTTTCCACACAGCGCCGAACTTTCACAACATTTATGATGTCTGTCACACTCTGAAGGTGGCGTCACAAAGGAGACGGAAGCAAGTGGCACTACGCATCAACATCGTGAGCCACTGTTAATGGCGCCGCACAAACACGGAAAGAAGTCCACTGTCACGAACTGGCAAAAACAATGGCAGCGTTTTTGCACAAGGACCGGCAGATATTTAAAAAAAACTGAATAGATCAGAAAATGTTTTATCGAGGCCTTGTAGGTTTCAGGGTTTCACTACGGCAGGTGACAGAGAAGGTTCCAAGGCAGGCAAAAACGATAGTCACGACCAATGCAATGAACTCTAACAGTGCTCTATTGGGCATCTTCTGACTGGGAAGTACAGACGATGGTGATGATGATAATCTTGAACCCAGTAAGCATCATTCCCAATTGCCCATCGCAGGCATCAGAGAGTGGTAGGTGTGAGTGTGCAGTGGAAGGGTGGGCACGAACATGCTGTATCGCTGGGAGATGCCACAGGTGGCACGATGCTTGCTGTAGAGGCGGTTCTCCAGGTCTATCTTGGTCTCTCCAATCAGGTCGTCCGTGCCGACCAGGTCCCAGTCATAGATGGACACGGTCAGCATGGAGTCCATGGGGAACACGGCTTCGATGTCAAACGACCTGTACAGCAACGACGACACAGGCGTCATGGCATCAAACAAAAGCCTTCAATATTTAACTGGATCTTGAAACAAAAATATGATTACATTCTGAATTATGCTTTTTTTACAACAACGCAAAAGTAAATTTACAATCTTCCAAGATTATAGGTATCATCGAAAACTACCAATGTTATTGTTCAGCCATATGCCTGCTGTTATTGAAAGAATTATACGGGCGTATGCTTAACGAAATGCCACGCGATTATTTCCTGAAAAAATATTAGTAATTTGACTTTGTTTAAATTATTATTCTTCAGTGTTATAAGATGGTACATTGCCCATGTGGACGCCACGGCGGCGAGATGTTAACTACCTCGCCTGGTATACATGATGGTCGTGGGTTCAATCCCGACCATGAAGCCTGTATGTTTATACTTTGCATGTTCTCCATGTGGTCGATTGTATTTTTGTCCGGGTCCTCCGGTATTACCCTCCACATTTAGAATCAACGTGCGATTAGAGTATTTGGCTGCTCGACGTTTTCCACGCGATAAGTCACTTCGTTGAGCTATCATTTGTGGCCAGGTCGCTCCTGAAAAAGAGCTGTGTAGGTCAGTAAGCCTGGCCTGGTTAAATAAAAAAAAAATCATAATTTAATTTACAGCAAAGTTTACCACCAAACTTTTTTTTTTCATTAGCTACAGCGACGCGAGGGCACGTACTTTCCAAAGACGGGGTTGAGCTGTTTGGAGATGTAGTTCTCCTTGTCCTTCACCTCGTGCTTCCCCAGCTTGACCACAATGTAGGGGTCGGCCTTTCCATTCACGTCGGCTGGGTGCAAATCGTTCGCCTGCCCGAGGCGTGAGAGAGGGGAAGTCACCCATTAGCCCGACTCGAACGAACCGCCGTCAATTACAAACAGCTGAGCGTTGGACATTTAAAGTGGCACCGGCATGCAGAAGGGTTCATGATTAAAACATGTTTTTTTTGTTTGATCCGTTACTTTATGTTTATGGTGGCGAGATGTTAACCACTTTGCCTAGTCTATGTTTTTATTGCTCGTTACCTGGCATGAGACTACATGGTCTCAGTGGGACCAGCTCAGTGCCTTGACCATGCCATCTGGGATACCACCTCCCAGTTTATACTGAAACCCTACCGTTTACAAATCGATTACTGAATACAATCGTTGCATCAATGTTACGGGTGACTGAACTTCATCATCATCATCATCACCACGATCCATGGGCAGATAGCCCGTAGGTGTCCACTGCACATTTCGCAATTTGTTTCCGCTTTCCTCTGTCTTGTGCGAAAATGCTTAAGTAGTGCCGTATCTTTCTGGCACCAATCTCTCATGTCGCCGCCGTCAAGCCATTCTCTGTTAGGTCTTCCTCTCTTTCCGGCTCCTTACATTTTCCCCGTACAATACACTTGTAATATTATTATTGTTGTTGTCCATCCTACATACATGTATGTGTGCAAATAGTTCCAGTTTCCTTCTCATCACTGCCCGCATCATCAGGTAATCTTCGTCTATGCGCAACCTTTTCCTTACTTCTACGTTGGTCACTCTTCGCGTCCAGTTTAGATGCAGTATTGGTGACTGAACTTAAATTGAACCAGCAGTGGATTCTGCGCGTACTTTTATTTCACAGTCATAACAAAAAACAACACACTTCTCAACCATCACTCGAGTGTACTTATGTCACCGACTACCCCCGGACAGACCAGTCCAACACGACCGACCCAGTGAAAAGATTCAACACGCGTGTGGCATGTACTCACCCGGACCACGTAAACCCTGACGAGCACCCCGATGGGGTCATTGCTCGGAATCCCCTGGAACATTCCGAACTGCGGGTCGTACCCCACCTCCCGTGCCAGCTCCTCCGGAAGGGGATACTTGTACACACACAGCGAGCCCTGCCAACACAGACCCCGATCACATGTCCACTGTAAGCGTGCACAGCACAATTAAACCAAATCATAAACAAATGTTACGTCTCCGTTGTGTCACTCATCATTGGTTTACCGCACACGTGCCTGCAGAGTGGACTTCCTTCAAGGACAACCTCTGGACTTGGACTCATGATGATGCATACATTGGTAATGAACAATCCAGAAGAAGCCACTTGTAATTTCATACACGTGCGCAGACAGCCACCGGCCAAACTGTGTGACTGAAGATGCGTTCAAATTCCCCATTGTTTTAAAGGGAGCACGTTGCAAGTGTAGTGGCCTTATTGACGTCGGAAACTGTTCTTTGGAGGCAACACGTATTTATTAGAGACACTTCAATTACAGTGGCGAATCTGATACTTGAAGAGGTAACGGCTTCTTCACTCGTACTCTATAGAGGGAACGTTCCCCGAGCCTTAGCCCACGCTAGCTCCCTGGTTCCCTCTATCCTGGTCCTCTCTCAGGAGGCTGTCTGACCTGGCCCAGCTTCGGCGCAGGTCCCGATCACCAGCCACACGAACCCGGCCCTCAGAAGGACATTGGGCCTCGCGGCTCTGGTGTCGCACCCTGGCTTGCTTTGCCCGGCCCTCAGAAGGACAGCGGGTCAAAGGAGTTCCAGGGTCTGGCTAGTCGATCTTCGTTCTTCACTGGCTCTTCATTTTGCTTGAGTCGAACTGCCTCTCAGTTCTCCGGGTCCCACCTTTTATACTGTCCCTCGCTGAGGGGTGGGGCTGGGAGGGATCACAGCGTCCCCCACAGCCCCCCAGGGTGGTGGCCGTAGCGGACGTGTTTGTGGCCACCGCCCTACAACCGCGTGGCATCCTGCCGTAACACCTCTACACAAGCATTAAGAGAATAATTTATAAGGGCAACCAAAATATTTTGGCTGCCCTTATAACTCTTGGATGGGATTTCAACTCGCAACTTTGATTTCAGTGTTAAATATTATATTCAGTATATTATACATTCCGTACAACTTAAACAATGGAAATACTGCACGTATATACATCATCGCATGCAGTCTGCGAGATTGGAGTGGTAAGTACGAGACAGTAAATACAGTAACTTTTTAAAGTAAGATTTGGATGTTTGTCTATTTGTATGTTTATTTATGCCACTTTCACATAGTAAACAAATATAACACACTAAAAAAACCATATAACAACACCTAAAAACATGTCATACCAGAATGTGCAAAAATAAGCTATTTTAAATGACGATTTAGTGACTATCTGGCGTTTTGAAAATCTAGCGCCCCCTTCCCCCCCCGAAGCCGCTGGATAATCGCCGATCTCCTGTAATCTCTCGCAGCCAAGAGCCGTGCCCCGTGAGGTGTGTCGGTGAGTGGACTGTGTCAGGAGTGAGATGCCTGTGAGATGCCGATCACCTTGAACCTGCCGACCAGCCGATCCTCCTCCATGCTGCTGTCGTCATCCTCGATCTTCCCACGGTAGAGGCTGAACGTGTGCAGCCAGTCCTCGAAGTTGTCAAATTCGCCCTCCAGCTCCTTGTCGAACATCTGTGAAGAAACCGGGCATCGGTCATCAACCCGGGCCCTGCCGATGTTGGTAGCGCCATCAACTTATGCTTGTCCAAACTTGTGGAATATCTTTTGTTTGTAACCTATAGTTATGCACCTGTTGATTTACTTAGGCATTGCACTAATCCACCAATGAACCACGACACCTTGCCGATCTCGTCGAGGAGCATAAGCCATCACGCAAACGCCGGTCATCCTCGCAGCAGCAGCGGCTTTCGGGCTGGCCATCGAACAAAGACGGCCGCCGCATCGTGCGATTTCAGATGCGCTTCTGGGGCCGTCTGGAATGCTCTTCCTTCCGATATGTGGAATCCACTGGAGCTATCCATTTTAAAATCTAGATTGAAACCTCATCTCATTAAAATTGCTTTTTGCATTCAGTTTGTTGGCCTTCCCCGCACACCTCTGATTAGCACGGTTCGCTACGTGCAGTGCAAAAGAAGAGCAACACGCATACGTCTAAACATAATCGCAATACATTCATCTCACCTTCAGCTCCTCCACCCTCATGCGGCGTTTCACCTCCTTCTTCTCTTCGCGTTCACCGACCTTGACTTTCGCTCCTGCCTTTCCGGACATCTTTGGGCTTCTGCGCTCTAAATTAACAAACGTCCCCCGCACCCCCGGCCAGTGTTAATGTGTGTTTTAACTTTACCTCGCTCATCGTTTTCACGTGATTTGGCCCGTGATTTTAATTCGGTGAGCAGCATAACAAGATCGTGAGCACGAATCCCAGCCGGTTCCCCTCGTGGCACAGTTTCATTGCCTGAGATCGCTCAACTCAGCACCGGTTTGTCATGAGGACATAGACGCAGGTTGTCATTAGGGGACTGGATCCCATCAGTGTTGCTGTAGGAGGCGTATTGGCCTTCAAATCCTCTGGGTGGGAGGCGCCGATGTTCAAAGACTACTAGGTGCAAGCCAATGCTGCATACACATACAGTAGATCATCGATTATCCGGCTTCCAACATTATCAGGCGGTCCCGGGCCGATCCAGCGAACCTCCATCACAGCTGATGGAGTTGTATTCAGACTGAATAACCACCTCCATTTCTACACCCCCCGATCATCGCCCCATGCACATTTTCGAGATTTGAGTGTTAAGGAGAGTTAAGTAAATACAGTAACTTTTTACAGTAGGGTATTTATTTGTCTTTTTTGTATGTTTATTTATGCTAATGTCATATTTCGATTATCCACGCTAATGATGGGCAGGACGGCCACGGATAATTCAACATTGCGGGTAATCCAAAAATATTAATTTTCCGCGGATCTCGATGCCAAAAAACAACTAATACATTATGTTTAAGTTATCTTATATCACAATTTCGTAAATGAAAACTCACAAAATAAATGATCGGATAAATCACTCAAAACGAAGCACAACTGACTATTTTGATTGTTTCTCTTTCGATTTATAACGAATACTAACGATCGAACGATCGATACACAAGCTCAGTGATAACACTTTCCTGCTCCCGCACAGAAGACTCGGCCCACTAGTGGATAGCAGAGCCACGCCAATAAAACTCTGCCCACTGTTGTAAAGATATGCAACTACTGCGCTGTAGAGGCAATCACGTGGATTTCATATTAACCACAGCACATATTTGTTCGGTTTAAGCACGTGATTTGTAATAAACACTTCTAAGAGAAACAATGTATAACTGTTTTTAGATTATTAATTTGGGCTTAAGGGAAAATCCACGAGTTATTAATATCGGTCAAAATCTCAGGTGCGCGGTTAATCCGCAAATCGGGTAAACCGCATGTGGATAACTAGCTGTACTACCCGGCTTCGCCCGGGACTTGGCGATGTTCACACACCACAGCAGTTACTCGTTTTGAGGCTGAGTCCACCTAGGGGAGGCCCAGGACCGGTTAAAATAATCGTCACCGGTGGTGGCCCGTGAGCGGGAATCGAACTCGGGTCGCTGGGTTCGTAGCGCAGCGCGCTAACCACTACACTACAATGCGTTACGCTTCCACACAGACTCACACAGATTACACACACACACAGCACGCTAACCACTACACTACAATGCGTTACGCTTCCACACACACACAGATTACACACACACACAGCACGCTAACCGCTACACTACAATGCGTTACGCTTCCACATGCGCGGGTCACGTGACAGATTTGACGTCACAGCTCACTTGCCGTGCAAAAAATAAATTCATTATTGAGCTCCCCCCCCCCCAAAAAGTGTATTTTTTAATTATTTTACAGTCTGGAAAGTACCCACATGGCAAATTTAAAGTTTGTTGCATGTCGGGAAGTAGGCTAAACATTTTGAACAGACACACATTCACAAATTTGCCTTTTATAGATGGAGATTGAGAGTCTACTGTAGTAAACAAATTTCAAACACAAAAAAAACATATTCAATGCGTAACATGTTTTATTTACGAATGTGCAAAAATAAGCTATTTGAAATAATGATATAGTGATTATCCGGCGTTTTAGAAAATCCGGTGCCCCCTTCTCCTCCAAGTCACCTGATAATCGATGATCTACTGTATATGTTACGACAAAATTAGTGATTAACAGTGAAATTAGTGAATTGTTGATGGGTTACGTAACAATTTTTTTTCTCCATGAGAAGTATTGGGGTTATTTTTTAATGATCATATGCACATCACTGACATATGTAACAAATGGTATTGCAAATGGTTTTTGCATTTCCGTTGCGTGCCAGGATTGTCGCTTGCATTTATCACATTGCCCCCATGGTTGGACACGCGGCGGCAAAACCCCTCCAGGAATCACAAGAGATTGAGTAAGAATCTAAATATTAAAGCATTCCATTTCGTTATGCAGTTATTCAGTCACCACATTGGAGCGAGAGTGGCCGATCTATCAAATCACTGACCAATTAATTTAATCATGCATAATTTATCATCATCCAATACACCACCGGGACGAATTTATTTTCTCTCAAGGAATTTTAGAATGACCCTTGATGAGTAATAACAGTAGCACAGATAAAGAATCACAACATCAAATCTTTACCCAAGCAAATGTCACCAAGGTTTCACGACTTTCTCCCGAAGGTGAAGGACATTAAGCCATTTTTTTTTTAAATGGGGTGCACACGGAAACTGGAGTGCCCACAAAAAAGCCATGCATGTGTAGTGACATCGCGGGATGTCACTGCGTAATGCCGGCCCGAGAGAGGCACGGCGTGCGGTGTAGCGACATCGCGGACACCACCAGGATGTGGGTGCAGTACCGGCCCTAGAGGGGCTCGGTGAGCGCTGATCGATAGCGTTGGATGGCACCACGCTTGGCGTGCAGTGCCGCCCCCTACAGGATAGGGTGTGGGAGTGCCGGCCATGGGGATGGGGTTACTATAGGCCGTGGCACTCTGGTTGACCCCAGAGGACGCGTGACCGGTTAAGTCTACACAGGGGCCCCAAGTTGAAGCGAGGGGTGGTCACGTGCCAGGGTCGAGATCCTGCTCGAGGATTCTGGCAGGTGGTCGTGGCCAAAGGGTGGAGCCAGCCACGCTGCAGAGAATATAAGCCAGGTCCCCCAGAGGGACCGGCGTTGTTGTTCATCCTGAAGAAACCTTCGTCTACATTCTATGTTCTACAGAGTCTCCAACACGTGGACCTGGACCCGAGCTGTTGGACCTGGTCCGTTGTAACTAGTTACGTTGTAATTAGTGTAGTTAGCCTGGTGGTCACCACCTGGTTAACTAAACTAGTTACGTTGTAATTAGTGTAGTTAGCCTGGTGGTCACCACCTTGTTAACTAAACTAGTTACGTTGTAATTAGTGTAGTTAGCCTGGTGGTCACCACCATAGGTTGTTATTCTGTTAAGGAGCAGTTACCCCGTGTGTTGGTGTTAAATAAATGTGTTGCCTCCAAGAGTACGTCTGCGACTCAGTTGGACTCACTACACATGCGTGCATTTGGTACAATAGCACAGATAGATCAGGAAACGGCTTTCTCTTTTGCCTTTTACAGCTTATTGACTCGTCTGAGGGTGCCTCACTACAAATCACAGCCCAATCACAAAGTTTGTCGACCAACCCCACCTCTGAGTCACTGGATTAGTCGTGGCACGTCAAGAGCTATAGCCCGGACACTTTGGTGCCCCCAGGCAAGGTGCCGTTTTCCTCTGGCGCCGACGCCACCCCACTAAAAAGGACTGCACCAGAAATTGAGCTTTGCTTCGTTGTTGTCAACAGGATGGGCACCATGGTGGCGAGATGTGAACTACCTCACCAGGTATGGAGGAGATCATCGTGGGTTCGATCCCGATCCTAACGGCTGTATATTTGGAGTTTGCATGTCCCTCTCCCTGTGGTCACGTGGATTTTTGTTGAGGTCCTCTGGTTTTTCCCTCCATATTTAGAATCAACATGCATTTAGAGTAATTGGCTGCTATACATTTCCACGCGATAAACCATTTGAGTGATCATTTGTGGCCAGGTCGCTTCTGAAAAAGAGCTATATAGCTCAGTGGGCCTTTCCTGGTATAATGAAAAGAGTTTAGTTTCAACAATCGGGCTCTACATTCAGGCAGGGGGGGGGGGGGGGGGCGCCCGGGGAAGCCGCCATGCCTACACCACTCTGGCTACGGCACTGGGGCACGCGACTCCACACCCAGTGGACTCTTAACTGGGTAGAGGGCCCTTGGGTCCGAGAAAGAACGAGCTTACCTTCTCCAGAATCGGACTCCTTTTCTTCTTCAGTTTCTTCTTGCATCTTTTGCTGCTGCAAGTGCATTAACAGACGCACGTGGAGGAACAAGCGCCGCCATTACACCAAATGCCGTCGTAAGTTAAAAGATTTGTATTCATTCTGTACGTACTTTACAGTGATGCCGTACGTCAATATTTCACGCGTCTGATAAAATTTTCTGTGCGTCCTTGTAGGTTTTATCGTTATTGTTGGCGTGAAATATTGACGGTTTATACGTTGAGTCGCGTGCTGTGATGCCCAGTACCTCCTTGAGAGTCTCTATGGACACAAAGTACTTGGACCACCAGTCCAGAAGTTCCTCGTCTGGCTCGTCCTCCTCCTCCTCTTCCACGCCTTTCTTCTTCTTCTTTTTCTTGGAGTCCTTTTCTGACTCAACCTGCGGTTACATCACGGGTCTCACCTGGTCACAGGGCCACGGATCCATCAGCGTCTTGCTTTGCCTTCATTACCAGGAGCAGGCTTGGCCCGGAGCTGGGACCTGACCGTTTGTCACCAATGGGCTTGTGATATTAGGGGCGACGCGGTGGCGAGATATTAACTACCTCATTTGGTATACAGGAGGTCGTAGGTTCAATCCCGACCTTGACGCCTGTATATTTATAGTTTGCATGTTCTCCCTGTGGTCAATTGGATTTTTGTCCGGGTCCTCCGGTATTACCCTCCACATGTAGAATCAACGTGCGCTTAGAGAATTTGGCTGCTGTAAATTTCCGCACACTAAGCCACTTCGCTGAGCCACCATTTGTGATACCCAGGTCGCTTCTGAAGAAGAGCTACATCGAGCTCAGTTGGGCCTTGCCTGGTAAAATAAAAAAAAAATTGTTCTTAGCTTAAGTTTATTTTAGAATTGCCCTTGAAATGTACTGCGGTGCCTCGAGCGCAGGCCTGGCTTGATGCCACCCCGACCCTGGGGCACCGTTCAGGCTCTCCAAGGCCCCACGGGCCTCGTCGCCCCGACCCAAGGTTCCACGATGAGGAGGGTTTCTCCACGGAGTGCGTGCGGCCACACACACTCCGTGAAGAAACCTGACTTAATTTTAAGAATGCGATGGAGATTGAGGGATGTGAATCATTTAATTGTCCGGCCCCTAGTGATGGCACATATCATCATAGTGTTGATCCCACAAAAAACGAATTCACTTTTCTCCTTTGATAACTGCTGCACGTTGGTGTGAAAATAACATCGGTAGACGAATTGGTGCATTGACACCGACTTTTAATGAACACATTCTTAACCCAACACCCCAATGCATTACACGGCATTAAAACCCAATGAATGTTACAACACTGTGACAATAACCTGTGCCCGGCCTTGCCAAAATTCTTAAGAGGAGGGAGCGGGAGGGGAGGAGGTGACCAAAGAGAGAGGGGGGGGGGGGGGGGGGGGGGTGAGGCAGCCCCGGAATCCCTGGCTGCTAAACACTGGCCATGAATTCAGCAAGATTTGTTAGCTGCGTCGTGGAGAATTTATAGAGAAGGTGCACAGTCTGTAGAAACATCCCAGAATTTGAGGCTTAACAACTCCCTCCAAACAATTTCGTTTAGCAGCACGAAGCTGAGAAAAATGTGATTATTACACTCTCGGCCAAGGTCCACGGAGATGCCAGGGAAAAATGCGTAAGAAAATTATCTAGATATTTATTAAATCAATCCGCCAGAGTATAATACTCGCAGAATAGTTTAAAAGGACGAAAAAAACACAACGTATGAAGTAACACGTTATTTCACTTACCGATTCGATTTTAACCACCGCGTCAGAATTCTGAAAGAGAAATGTAATCAACGGATAAGAAATTCTGAAATTCGTACGTATCCTAACAGAACATTGTAGTTGACCAGAATCACACAGTAAGATGAGATAATTTCATACAATTTTTCCCTTGAAACTGTCTGTTAATCCTCTTTAGTATTCAGTTATATAATTATTATAGACTTATTTCTAAGGCCACAGTTAATAATTATTAAACTGTGATTATAATGATTATAATCATTGCTGATCAAGTGAGCATGGACAGAAATGTATATTGAACTTCTTTAGCACCGTACGTAGCCAACCGTGCTAACTGGAGATGCGGGGGAAGGACGAAAAACTAAGCACAAAAAATGCCAGATTAAAGTCGGGATGAAGGAGTCGCTCGATAATTTATTGGAGATTTTCACGGAACTGGACGTGAAGTGGGAATCAATGTACGGTTCGTTGCCTGGTTTGGCTAGGTGGCTCTGCGGCAGGACACTCGACTCGTGAGCGAGCGAGCGATCGAGCGTGCGAGATAAAATCCCTAGCTCAGCCCGCCGTCCCTTCAAGGTCAACAAAACAATTTCCGCCTTGTCGAAGGTCATTCTGTAGAGAGAATGATCCCCGTCGTAGAAACGTTGAATTTCCTTCAATGGCTAAAAACTGCCACTAGTGCCACCAAATGTTTGATTTCGTGATCATGAATTGCTTCGTTTTATCTGTTTATACAAATTAATAAGTCTTTCTGCAGTTATCCACTCAACCTCCATGGACTCTCGATGTTGTGAAGAAGGGCTATTACCCAAAATGTTGCCTATTATAGACTTATTTCTAAGGCCACAGTGTTATTTAAGAATGTGTTTAATTTTTTCGTCACATTGAGAAGGGTTGCCACAATATGGTATCATACGATACAACATCCACAATAGTATTATCGTCCGTCTTGCATCGTCATTTAGCGATGACAGTTTCTCGTTAAAGTTTTCTTAAATATTAAATTTCCTGAACCAACTATTTATGAAATCACAGCGATAAACGTTCAGAATAATAATGAGAGTACAAAAACAGCTATTATCAATTAAGTATGTGCCTTGTAAAACACTTTCCGGAATAATTATACGGAATGGCGATTACAGAGGTGTCATCGTATTCTGACACTGTGTGCATTATATCCCAGACAGTAACGTTGTAACAATTAGAAGTCTTGTGGCAGGCTCATTCTGAGTAATCTGCAGTTGAATAACTTTTATTTGACATTTAACAATAACGTGTGAAAAACCATTACAGAGTTATTGGAAACTGATATTGTGATATTAATTGTCGTGAAATTGTATTTCGTATTTTATTATATCGGTAAATATTTATATTGCATCAACCCTAACACTGCTAAATATATATTTAGGAAAAAATTAAGGTTTACGTGACAAACCTCACAAATTGGCTGTGTTGGGTAGTGGCGGGTTTAATGACATTTATGGTTATGCGATCTAACCCAAAAAACACTCGATTGTGGATAATATTGGCCACGAATGCCTACTTACTACTTGTTAAACTGATGAATGTTCACGTAATTTACTGGTAATTAATTATCTCTAAACGCATCACCTCATCCCGTCTTACAAGAGATGGGCGAGGTGATCAGCAGGGGTCGTTTGAAGGTGGTGACCGGTGGAACTCGGGCCTAGGGATCACTGTGTTTTACACTGACATTGTAACGTAAATATTATGACATTTATTTAGTAAACAAAAAGTCTGTCAATGAGTCTCGGCACTATTTTTCAGGAGGGTCCTGCATTCAGACGTTTGTCCGATTAATTTATTTGTAGAAAATCAATTGCACGTGGGAGGAAACTAAATATGCATGTCTATTTGCATGAATATTGCTTCACTTAATCATGCCACTGTAACAGGGACAGGAAGGCATGAGCCGGGAGCCCATTTATGGCCAACTTCCAACCGTGTCGTCTGCCTCTGGCTACGGCCTATCCACCTCTGGGAGTGCAATTTCCAGTTCCAGACAACCTTCTTTGACATTGCGAGTCACTGATTCCTCAGATGTCCTGCAGTCTTAGTTCTGCTGACGTTTCTGTACTGGGATGATGTTGGGAAATCTCTCTTTGTGCATCCTCTATGCTCAGTGAGATCATCTCCTCCTCTGGACGATGGCTCTATTCATAGTTCCTTGCCAATGTCACGTTACCGTATGGGTCTGAGAAATTGACTTTCTGGCATTTAAATAGAAGTGCATGAGAAGGACGCTATCAATTACATAACAAGAACAGGGCAGCATCTATGAAGGTTTGAATGGGAGCATTGTAAAAGTAATCAACCTATCTACGGTGACTTTACCGAAAGACCCACAGAATAAGAGGAGGGGGGTGATGGATGAGGTGTGTGCAGTGTGGAGGAAGGCATGTTTACTAAGACAGACTTCGGGGTATACCCAGAGATCGACGACCAAGGGGAAGACAGAGCCAGACGGCGGAGGTCAGACTGAAAGAGCAGGCTTTGGAGGTTGGTGGCAACTGTGCAATGCTTGAGAGTGTCTGGCAAAAGGAGACAATGAAAATAATGTAGGGTGGGCATCAACACGGCACTGACTATTCCGACCTCTTCATCTCTGCACAGTGACGCATAGGGATACCCGGACCACGGGTACTCTCATTCTGTCTGGCGTTAAATGCCGTCAACGCTCAGTCTGGGAGGGAGGAGGGGGGAGGGTGGCCTCTGTGTGACACGAGAAAGCCGTCGACTCACGGGATCCAAACGGACCATGGTCTCTGCTTTTCGCAGAGAAATCTCCTCCATGTTGATCGCTGCGTCGCCTGCTGAAGGAACAACGACATTGACATACGACTTTAGCTTCAACTGAAGAGGTATAAATCTTGACTTAAAGTTTTCGTGACTGCATCGAATTCATTATTCTTTGGGTCTTTCGGTAAAGACACGTAGATAAAGTCACGTAGATGAACCTATCTACGTGACTTTACCGAGAGACCCAAAGAATATGAAGAGGTATAATTAAACTGTTTGGATAACGTTCTTCATTATACAGGGTTTCTCTTTTACTGGGCAGTTATAGTCTCAGGGTTTACAACGGAGAAATGTATGATGTAAATTAGTAACACACTAATCATGTGGTGCATTTCCAACAGTCACTGAAAAGATAAATCCCAGCCAAGGTAAATAATGTAAGGTACAATACAGTCTGTTGTCCTATAACACGGTAGTTGTTGTGTTCCTTAAGAACACCCCGTCATGGAAAAATCGCGTTATAATAAGTAATATATAATATAGGGTAAAGCACATGGGATGCGTATGCAGGTCAAACAAAGACTGAGGCTCGTGGGTAGCATCTAGAAGCATCCAGCAGCCGTACAACCGCTTATTCCTATTCGCGAGAAGTAGTTCTGTTCACTCAATAGCGTTTTATCCAATTCGCATCCACGTTATAAAAAAATGTGTTTCTGTATACATTCATCGCGTTATGTATGAAATTTCCATTATGAAAACAAGCGTTATAGGAGAACAGACTGTAATGTAATCCTCATCCTTGCACAGAGGTGCTAAGTCTGGTGATGGGAGGGCGCTGAAGCTACATGTCTCTTTTTACCACCCACAGTTACCTGAGTAACCATTTATTTAAATGAAAAAAATATGATACATATCAAGGGGGTAATCATTTTAAAAGAAGCATGTTGATGCACAAAAGTAATTGTGCACAATAGTGGTAACATGTAATTAGGTTGCAATTAATTACAATGTATTAATATCGTAATAATAGGGTTTTCCCCTTTTTTCTGGCAACAAAACTGAAACCTTTTTACAAGGATTCATGTCTGCATTAACCACAATACCTGCAGTCAAAATGCAAACAAAAAAACATACTATGATAATGTATGCATTGTCCTTGAAACTGATTGGTCCACACCAAGAAAGAAAGCCGTCCCTTGGTGTGGACCAATCAGTTTCAAGGACAATGCATATATTATCATAGTATGTTTTTTATTTGCATTTTGACTGCAGGTATTGTGGTTAATGCAGACATGAATCCTTGTAAAAAGGTTTCAGTTTTGTTGCCAGAAAAAAAAGGGGAAAAACCCTATTATTACATTTTGGTACTGGCAAAGGTCTAATGATAATTAATATCGCTTAACGTGTAGTCGTTAATGACACACGTATAATTCCGTGATTTAACCAAAAAAACCTTTATGAATGAATACATATAACTTTGCTCAATTAACATACAAATGGCACGATCATTCATACGTTTATGTATGCACCGCTTTATATCGAGTTGTGATTTGTGATCTTTTTAACGCGCTGAAGCATTGCCTCAGCTTGCCATAGCCACAGACAGTAGACAGTGGCCACTACCGAGTGACCAATACAACACGCACACCAACTTAGATCATGCTCGTTTCACCAAGTGCCCAAACAAAGTTTCTCGTGCAGTATTCTGCACAAGCAGCACAGTGCTTGTAACAATGTTTGATGCATGCAGTGTGGGCATGTAATAAAAAAATAATATTCATTTATTTATGATTAAGTGAGAGCCCATTGAGAGTAAAATTATCTTTCTCCAAGGGAGGCGTGGTTCAATCGGAGTACAGCACGGATAGCCATTTACCTGCACACAAAGACAAATACAAAGATCCCCCGTATAGCCTGTTTAGACGGTTGGGGCAAATGCTGTTAACGAGCAGCACCTATTAAGGCCGGCATGGCACACCAGGGGGTGGTCGGTCAGCACCACGCCCGCCCGCCTTTGTCTCCCCAGTGGCGATATTTACACATCGCACCAGGTACTGATTTGAGGCTGAGTCGGCCTAGGGGAGACCCAGAACCGATTCAGATAATCGTCACTGGTATTGGTTGAACTTGGGTCGCCGGATTCGTAGCACACGCACGTGCACAGAGCGTGCACACCCACCCATATACACACTCACACACGCACAATGTGCTTGAAAATACAACTCTGACTCTCAATCCACATCGGTCCCTTATCCTCCCCCAACTACTCCACCCGAACTTCCACCTGAACTTCGTAAAAGCTCATAAACATGCACATGTACACGGTCCTTCGATGGGACTGGAAATTGAACAGTGACGATAGGGAATGTCAGACCGACAACAGATCTTTTTTGCTGTCGTGGAAACAACCTCGCCTGGTGAATAATCGGCTGGTGCGCTGTCACCTGCGGGCACACACTTTGGCACACAGACCCAGATGCAGGCAGGCGCGGGTCATTCGGGTCACCTATGGTGCGGATGTTGGCTGCCTTGGTCTTGCTGGGCGCCCGCAGAATGAACTTGCGCAGGGAGGTGACGGTGTGCGTGCCCACCAGGGTGTAGCGGCCGAACGCGCGGCAGTCGACCACGCGGATGTTGAGGGGCGGGTGCAGCAGCTCGTTGTCCGGTAGGTCCTGGCGGCGATGGCACACGCTGTGTCATGCTCTTCCAGGGCCGTTCCGCACAAGCCGGCATCGCCATCATTTGCTCATCACCATTGCTTGCTCATTACCAATGCCGGCATTGTCATCGTTCACTCATCATCATCATCGCTCGCTCATCACCGATGCCTGCGTTGTCATCGTTCACTCATCATCATCATCATCGCTCGCTCATCACTGACGCCTGCGTTGTCATCGTTCACTCATCATCATCATCGCTCGCTCATCACCGACGCCGGCGTTGTCATCGTTCACTCATCATCATCGCTCGCTCATCACCGACGCCGGCGTTGCCATCGTTCACTCATCATCATCGCTCGCTCATCATCAACACCAGCATTGTCATCGTTCACTCATCATCATCGCTCGCTCATCACCGACGCCGGCATTGCCATCGTTCACTCATCATCATCGCTCGCTCATCCCCGACGCCGGCATTGTCATCGTTCACTCATCATCATCGCTCGCTCATCACCGACGCCGGCGTTGCCATCTTTCACTCATCACCATCGCTCGCTCATCACCGATGCTGAGGCAAGTTGCTTTAACCGCCCTCATCCAGCTCAATGTCATTGTCACCGGACACATGATGTGGCAGGGTGCTCGTATCCACTGATTCGCCCTAATCCAGTACTATCAGAGACAGTACGGGAATCATTGATAATATTCTAAGCTTTAAAGTAATATATAATATATACTCGTGATTAATTATTTAAATTGTGCATTCGTAAATGTGTAACAGTTTGTTGTTACAGCGATAAGTCGAGAAATGTCTGCGCTTCCTGGTTGGTACGTGGGGCAATCTCGACCAGCTGGCTCAATACATCCCAATGAACAAAAACAATTCCACATTTGTACGGTGCGAGACATTCACTACATAGCGTGGCCAGTGCTGACCTCGTGTTAAGCAATACTTATTTGATTGACTCTGGAGGGATGATGGGGCCAGAGTCAATCCCCAACTTATTTTAACCTTCTAGTTTAGTATTGAGCCGTTTATAGCTCGACCTGCCCCGGTGAGCTCTCTGGCTAATACACACATGCTCTTTACACTTACAACTAACGCTCATTGACACTCTACTGTTTTCGTGAAAACTATGTCGTGGCTGGCTTTGCTTTGGAATATGTGTTTTCTAGATTTTATCATATTTTCTCAAACATTGAAACAATGTCAAAGTGTTTCCATGCCCGAACAGACGCAGGAGCTTCGTTCATCCCGGCTGGAGGTCCTCGGCCAATTGTGCAAACCCACTGTGCTTCTGGATCTCATCTCCCAAATCAACTGGTATCACGAAGTGGTATATATTTTACTCTACACAGATAATGGTGATGATGATGGCCTGAGTTTAACTCATGTATCAAGATTTGGAGCCCTGTTGCTCTAAGAGGGGTGAAGTACAGGCGTAGCCCTGCAAGATGTTTACCAGAACAGTATCCTCAGCCGAGTGTAACAAATAATCCAAGAAGCTGGAGAAACTTATACTCGACACCTCTTATCTGGTATAACCCTTCACTACATCTCATTCCCATAGATTTCATGAAGCCACATTACCAAGAATCTTCACATTCATTTGGCAGAATACTGCATGTGTGGGGGATACCACAGATGCAGTCAGACAGGACATGACTAAGGTGCTCGGGTCTGCTCACCACTTCAAAATGCTTGAAGAGGGTGCTGAAGTTGGGGTTCTGCTTGTAGCTGGGGATCACCACAGACTGCACGCTTTTCCCCGAGCATTCGACGTCCACACGCGGGCGATCGACCGTCACCAGCTGGATCCTCTTCAGGTCCCTCAGGCCCCAGAAGAGCACCTGCGTCCACGCAGAGAGCGGGGAAAAACCTGAGAGGGAGCCATATGCGAGTCGCACGGGAGTGCCCGTGCGGCATCTAACTCAACTCAAGTTGCTCGTTTTGATATCTGGCTCGGTGGCGAATGAGTGCGGGCACCTCGATCCGGTACTTGCTCAGGATTGGGCGGATGCCCCTTGGAACGGGAAGGATGGTGCCATGCTCCGTGTCTGTTGGACCCGAGATGGGTGGGAGGTCTCCCTTGCCCGACGGCGGGATCTGCGGAAATGCCGGAGTGTTGATGTTATCATCAACTTTCTATCCCGCCCCCTTTTGTGTGAACGTGCGGTATGTTTGATTTTACAGAGTAAGTAGGAAACCAGGCAAAGAGAATGCTTTTAGAATTTGTACAAAATAATTCCAAGTGTCAACGGACATGGAATACAGGAATCTGGAGAGTGCACCAAGGTGAACTTGATGTATAAAAGATATGCAGAAATGCCAACGGTGTCAAAAATAATTCCACGTGTCAACAGACATGAATGACAGGAATCTGCAGAGGGCACCAAGGTGAATTTGAAATGTAAACGATGTGTAGAAATTCCAAGGGTGTCACTAGTCAAGAAGTGGATATGTGATATATTATTAAATAGACGTGATATTGTGAAAACTCTGTTGTACCAGTGGTTGTAAAATACAGTACATTCAACAGCATTATAATTTGGAATAATTTAATTACAACTGTTATATCTCTAAATAAAAATGAGCATTTTTGCAATGAATAAATTGACCGTTAAAATAAAAAAAATCTTGTTTCATTGGCAAGGCTTTCAACCCGTGTTAATCATTTTTTTATTTATAGAGCACCTTCACTCAAGGCGCTTGACATAACTGACAAAACGGTGACACAATGGAATGATGCGGTTACTACTATTTTTATTTTACTAGATAAGGCCCACTGAGCTATACATGTATAGCTCTTTTTCAGAAGCGACCTGGCCACAAATGACAGCTCAACGAAGTGGCTTATCACGTGGAAATTTAAAGCAGCCAAATACTCTAAACGCACGATGTTGATTCTAAATGTGGAGGGAAAAACTGGAGGACCCGGAGAAAAATCCACGCGACCACGGGGAGAGAGAACGTGCAAACTCCAAACATACAGGCGTCAGGGTGGGGATCGAACGCACGACCTCCTGTATAGCAGGCGAAGTCGTTAACATCTGGCAGGGGGCGAACTACAAGGATTACATCACGAAGAAGATTTCCAGACGATGGTCACGGTTCATCAACAACGACGAGCGACGAGCGACGTCGTCTCGCACAGAGTGGCTGGACTCCACAGGGGGAGCGGTGGTGCGTGGTGCGGGGTGGTGAGTGGGGGAGGTGGCTACCTGCAGGAGCTCGAAGGCAGCGAGCAGTTCCCCGGCAGTGGAGTTCCCCCGGTAGATCTGGTAGTAGTCGAGCTGCGGGGGGAAGCGCGGAGCGTCGTACTTTTCGTTGCTCATTTTCACCACGGGCTTGGCCAAGGCTCGTCCGATGAAGTCCGCCTTCCCCTGCAGAGTCACGCAGCCAGACCGCAGAGGCTCGGACGCTCACCGCCGCCACGTGTGGCAAAAAAAAACTCTCGCGGGGTGAAAACGTTCACGGTCGGTGTAAAGATCGTGTACGAATCGACGTGATGCACTGTCCAGAGGAGTGAAATCGGCGCTGCCGCATCGATAAACGAGTCTTACCGAACCTCCCAATTTCGATGGCTGATGTTGTGTGACAATAGCAAAACGTTAAAAGTTTTTTTTTGGCAACTTTCATTCGCAATACAAAAGTGACAAATTCAAGCCAAAAAACAAGCGATCATCCTTACGTGCACATCACGTGAACGCTGTATTTGAAATTCTGCATTGGGACCCTCATGCAAGCTGAAGTGAACCATTTCAAATGCATACATTTACAGAGGACATATAACAACACCAATTATGTTTTCATTTGGACTTAGATCAGATTTTTTTTTTGGGCTCAAAAAGTTACCGCTCATCATGTCAGTTGCATGAAGAAAATCCAAAGAGTTGCTGTTAATGTCGTGTAAGTTGCATTTGATTTCGTACGAAAGGCAAGAGTAACATATCTGGGTGACTGCTTTACAAATACAATGCAAGAAGCCACTCAAAAAGCTGCTAGCGCTCTCTTGGTGTCCTGGCCCCAGGGCAAGCCACCTTAAAATCCATGACACCCGAGGGTCCGAACTGGCAGAACCAACACAAATCTGTGACAGCGGTGCCTGCAATTCACACTGTTAATTTTATTCACGTTTTGGAAGTGGACAATTTTATTATATATTTACTTGATTTTCACAACAATGATTAATCAAGCGCAGGTACAATGTGTGTAAGGTGCCGACGTAACCTTCCCTCATGCATGAATGAAGATGCCAAGCTGGGCCTTGTAATGTATAGATTTGCATTTTCTAGTGAATATGACGATCATTGATTTACTTGGGATTGGGACTAAAATGTGGCCCAGTTAAGGTAAATAAATATTAAATATATACGCAATAGTGGACAAAATAGGGACATTTTTTGTACACAATAAACTGGTAATGCACACACGTGCAGATTTCAATTTAGCATACAAATCTGTGTTCACAGAATGTTACCGATTTGGGTGATGGACCCCAGGGTGTGTGGATGAAGGATGAGCTGTAGGGTCAAGGAGCTAAGGCAGGCAGGTCTTGCTGTGCCAAAGCTAAAACATTCGGGGCAATACGCCCCATCTCACTCTGGCCACGGACAGTTGTCTCTTGCCCTCGGGCCACAAATGGACATAAGCAGGACACCCTTGCGACTACTTGACAGCGACACGCCTAACAGCAGCAGCAAGCTATACTTATCTACATCCACCAATTTTGAGCAGTATAAAATAGAAACGCAAATATATTATAAAGTAAGTAAATTATAAAATAGAACAGTTATATAGTGATGGCACACAGTATCACACGGTCACAATGTGTGAAAGCATCTATCAAGCTGTGACGATTAAATAAACGTGAAATAAACGGTCGAGTCGAAGTGACTAAGTGACATGTGGGGTAACGTCGGTGATGTTTGGGAACCACGTTCACGATTGGCAGTGCACTGTTGTTTACAACTGTTTCAGAAAAAGCAAACACAAAACAACATCACAGTTTAATTCTCAAAGAGGAAATGCTAAAGTCACGCGTGCAACGTGAAAACGCGTCATAGTTCATAGTTAGTTCATAGTTCATTTATTTGGTATAGCCCTGTGAGCCATTCGGCTCTTGAATCAAGGGTGCACGTATGCTTTATGCAGTCGCAAAACACGTTATGTATCTTAAAACAATGTTTCAGAAATACATTCCCAGGCTTTGAATTTAACAGCTACCGTCAAGCAGGGCTGCAGTATATAACAAAATCGCAGTTGCCGAGCAAGTTGCTGGGGTGAAACAATGAGTGCTGAATCGCAGATGAAAACTGACCTTTTATAAACTAAACTATGTTTTATTTTATCAGGTAAGGCCGACTGAGCTATATAGATCTTTTTCAGAAGCGACCTGGCCACAAATGATAGCTCAACAAATTGGCTTATCGTGTGGAAATGTATAGCAGCCAAATATTCTAAACACATGATTATAAATGTGGAGGGAAAAACCGGAGGGCCTGGATAAAAATCCACGCAAATTACAGGGAGAACATGCAAACTCCAATTATACAAGCGTCATTGTCAGGATTGAACCCACGACCTCCTCCTGTATACCAGGCGAGGGAATTAACATCTCGCCACCGTGGCGCTCCCTTTATGGTGAGTACAGTGAGGGAGAGGAACTGGGTGCTCAAGTATTCTCACAGACAGCAATATGACTTCTTATTTTAATTATTTAGCCTAACCCTACATTATCTGAGCTGCTTAATGGAGGTGCTATAATAAACACCGTGTACGAGTGTGTAGCCATGGGAGTCAGAGAGGATGCCTGGAGGAATCTCTGGCTCTGTTAACACCCATAATATTAATTCAGAATCTTGATTTAGACTGCAGGAGAAATCCAATGAGATATTAAGCTTCACAGATGTACACCGTGTGTGTGTGTGCCCACTCCCTCCATGACTACAGCACCGGTATCGAAGGTTCATAAAACGTCTGCCACAGCTAAACCAGCTTTGAGAGTCTTGATATGGCGAGCCAACATTTGCTCCACTAAAAATAATAACGTAAACTTAATCCAGAATAATTATGCAAAAAGGCATTGCATATGGATAAATATATGACTATAGGTCTAATTATACCATACATCTGTCCACTCCCAAGAAAAGTAAGCAAATTATCAAACAAGTTCTGTCGAAATTTAATTTGGTAGGTGCCAGTGGTACTTAGCATGCTAACGGTATGGGAGTGGATTCAGTGGACTCAAATACGACACTTACAGTGGTAGTGCTCATCAAATTGGTCACAAGAAAGCACTTGTTAAATGTTATTCACATCGAGCCCCATGTGCAGCCTCCAAACCTTATTAACTCTACGTATCTGGCCTCTCTGTGCATGTGCTATGAAGTAGGGCCATTGCCCGAAACGTCACCGATTATTTTTTTTCTTTTAAGACCACAGTGTTGAGTTTTTTTTCTTATGTTGACTGTGCATGTGCACAAACTGCCAACGTGGCATCACCAAAATAACTTCTCGTGGTCGGAATTAGAGGTCGTTTTAAGAACCAGAGGTTAATTTATTGTCAATTTATCCAACCCTCGTTTCCAGAGACAACTTAACCAATGAACCGGATATCAATGCTCGTTTTCTTTAATCGGTTTCCTCAGCCACCTGGAGGGTATGCGGCAGCTATGACGTCAGCTGAAATCATCGGTGAGTGGTGTAAGAGGCTTTGCTGAGACCCTGCGTTAAAAGCATTAATTACTGTGAATATGCAATTACAAGTATTCAACAATTTGAACGGCAAACATACCACCGTGTCCTGGTCGAAGACCTCGATGACGATGATGGGTGGGTCATCTCGCAGCTCCTGAGCTTCTCCATAGAGCTCAATGCTGTCGAACACCAGCATTTGGTCCCACGTGGGACACAAGGTCTCTGGGATGACCTGACAGGGGACAAAGCAGACCACGGTGAACAAACAGAGCGCGTCTGCTCACCCTTTTTGCCTCTCACAAGCCGGAGAAGTTGAATGGCCTTAGTGGAATCTAGTACTGAAGCACGACCACAGGACAACGATAGAATAAAAAGCAAGGAGAGAAGAAATTTCGAATCACGTGCTCAAATACGGCTACGGTGAAGCCGCAGGCTTCGGAACAGACGATAACTGAATGAGAAGTCAGGTTGTCTCATCATCGTCTTAACTGCATTCACATGCAAGCGAATGCGAACGAGAATTCCGTGTGAACGCCCTGCAACTCACAAGGCAGTCAAAGAGCCTTGCAGCAGTTCCGCTGTGCTGGCAGGAGCGGCACTACGCTCGTACGTGCTGGTGGGAGCGTGCGTGGAGCCCTGCGGTTTGTACCTCGGTGGCCTGGCTGTGCGTGGAGAAGATGATTCTGCCAAACGGGTCCGAGAGCCCGGTGCTGTCGGCTGCGAAGAGACTCCGCGCCTGGTACATGTGGACTCGCAGCTGGAACATTTGCTTTTCTGCAACGAAATGGGTAAAGGTATGAGGAGAAATAATACCGTGCCACGTGTAAAGCAACGATTAACAAGCAAAATACTGCGGTTGTAGTTTCATTTAATTGCAATATCAAATCATCTTTCTATTTCACTAAGATTGTATCTATACCTGTGTGTGGCGTTTATAATAATGTTTTATGTACAGTGCTTTGAGATACTTCAATATGAAAGGCGCTTCATAAAATAGAGGTTGTAATTATTATAAATCGGATTTTTGGGAGTATGGGACATTCATGTTATATATATACAAATATATATATTTAAAAACACCCTCAATGTTGAAGTAATTTTTCAGCCCCCAACTCTACGTGCAGATCAAAGAGCAACCCCAGTGACATCCACATGACAAGTGTATTGATGTTCATGACAAACACATTGATTGATGTTGGATGACAGAGTAACAACCGTCAATGTGCGTAAATTTGATATCCCGTTCTCAATACGTTTTACCACCCATTATTAGTTTTCTCCTCGACGTTTCGTGCGGCACGTCAAACTCTAATGGTTCTAACCTTTGTAGATGAGGCTGATGGGTGGCAAGGCTTGTGCGATCGGGCTGCTGTTCTTGGCCTTTTTCTGCTCGTAGCCATTGGGCAAGCCATTCATGAAGTCCTTGCGGTGTTTGTGTAGGCCGAGCCAGAAGTAAGCCTCCAGCTTAGCCTGCACCGTCCAGCCTCCGGAGCCGAAGCTCTTCTTCCCGGGCAGCTGCAACCACCAAAGACAAAGATCCCCCGTATAGCCTTAACAGACTGTTGGGACAAGTGCTGTTCGCTAGTAGCACCTATGAAGGCCAGAACAGCACACCTCAGGGTGGGTGGTCAGCACCATGCCTGGCCGCCTTTGTCTCCCTATCGGCAATGTTTACACACTGCACCAGGTACTCATTTGAGGCTGAGTCGACCTAGGGGAGGCCTAGCACCGGGGTCAGATAATCATCACTGGTGTTGGCCCTGAGCGGGAATCTAACTTGGGTCGGCGGGTTTGTAACGCAGTGCGTTAACCGCTGCGCCTCCGCCTGCAACCACCACCATCGTAAACACAAGAGATTGACACAAGCGAGGTCTGGCATGGGAGGCAAGCGATTAGGATCCCCTTGTGGATGCACGAGGGAAAAGTTTCGGGTCTTTTGTTAAGCAGGAGAATGAAATGCATACCGATGACCACCTGTGTGGTGAGATTCTGCCCTCTGAGGGATGTTCCTGTGAACCTGTGATGCCTGTGACAGTGAGAAATATTTCAAGTGATCTGTACATTATGTTTATATTCGCAAATTAAAAAAAAACATATAATGAACAACATATTACCAATTGAACTCAAAAGGTTTTCTGAGCGAGATGGTCTAATTGCATAACTCGCAGTCCAGCACAAGGAGCACACAATTCCAATAAATAAATAACAAATTGCCGTAAATAAAAAAAACATATCCATGCCACGGGCACCACACGGACGGCCTACTCGACTCACATAGACTTCAATGTGCAAGGACTTGTAAACGTGGAATTAAACGGATTAGGAATTGAGCGCAAACACGAGAATCGGTGTCACAAGGCCCAGGCCCGGGCCGAAAGCAACGAGACCAAGCCGAGACCAAGGCCCGGAGCCTTTTGGTGCAGATCGGTGTCGACGCCAGTCAAGGCTGCATCCTCCAGCCTGAGGTCAGTGTCAAGGGCAGTGCCTCTAAGCCAAGTCCTCAGACTGACGCCACAACCATGAAGCCAGGACCCACGGCCGCCGAGAGCTGACCCGACGTCAAGACGGCCGTGAGAGGACCGGTCTCCATTATGACACAAACAGTGGGCCTGATAACAATAACACAGCTCGGCTTCATGCAGTGAGCTAGAGCAGGGGTCTGCAACCACTCAAATAAGAAGAGACATTGTTTTTGTTTTTAACCAAAATAATTCGAGAGCCGCATTACCACCAGAGCTACTTGTGCACAAACACAGCAGGTATAGAGCAGCTGACAAACACATTCTGACTTTAATGAACAAGATAGGTGATGGAGTAAACTGCCTCTATTTAGTTTATTTCCCCCCTTAAGTTAATCTTTAACAATACAATTTGACTGTTGTACATTTTGCCGTCACCAAACCAATCAAGTGACCCATTCCCTGCTATATTTAAGCAATAGTGTTTACGTTAAATTAGGTTTAAAGATTTAAGTTTCCCACAAGGGGGGCAGCCAAAGAGCCAAAGTGTGGGGGGGGGGGGGGGTGGTGGAGGGCGAGACAATCAATTAGCCGCATGCGGATCCGGAGCCACAGGGTTGCCGACCCCCTGAGACAGAGTTCCATGTGGGCAGGCCGAGTGGAGGGACGCAGGGACGCGAGCCCTCACCCGGAGGAAGAGGGTCTTGATCTTCCCGCAGTCCTTGCCCATCTCGTCGTCGATGGGCGAGTAGAGGATGTCCTTGGCCGAGATGCGCGCGTATGCCACGCGCTTGTTGTTGCTCAGCATCCACACGTACACATCGGGCACGCTGTGCTGGGGCTGGACCACACGGGCACAGTTACTCGTGAAGCCTGTGCGGACGCTGTGCGCGCGCAGTGGTGCCCATGTCACGCAGAGCGATCGTGACGAAGCGATCCTGCTCCACGATCCGTAACCCACGAGGCCATGAGCAGCAGCATCGCTGTGTCGCACTCAAGGCGCCGCGGTGGTGAGATGTTAACTACCTCGCCTGGTATACAGGAGGTCGTGGGATCGATCCCAACTCTGGCGCCTGTACATTTGGAGTTTGCATGTTCTCCCCGTGGTAGCATGGATTTTTCTCCGGGTCATCCGGTTTTTCCCTCCACATTTAGAATCAACATGCGTTTAGAGTATTTGGCCACTATAAATTTTCACGTCATAAGCGACTTCGTTGGGCTCTCATTTGTGGTCAGGTCGCTTCTGAAAGAAGCACTATATAGCTCAGTGGGCCTTACCTGGTGAAATAAAAATACTGTAGTTTAGTTTTCGTTTCCTCTCAACGTTTGTTTCAGCGTGGTGGGCACTGCCAGTGTCTGTCAAGGCTACCTGTTAAAGAGCAGTGGCCCACCACGTAAGTGTACATCTGCATACGTATGAATGCTTTTTAATACATTTATTTGCCATTTTAATGTTTGTCACACGCATTTTAATTAGAAAGTTATTTGATTAATTTAACATTTGGATAACTGATCCACCAGTGCCATCTCCATGGGCTATAGACACATGGCACTGCGCCTGGCAGCTTGGAAACCGACCGTGGAGGCGATGCGTCGCACAGCGAGGGTGCCCCCACCTCATCGGCGAGGAAGCGGAGCTTCTGCAGGAAGTTGTACGCCTGCTTAAGCTTCTCCTTGAGCGTCGCCCGCTTCACGTTGATTCTCAGCGTCTTGGCCTGCATGGCCATCGTCTCCTGTGGTGAACGAAGAGAGGAACTTTTACGGAAAAGCAATCACGTGAAAAAATGTGAGCTTATACGACGACTCAATGCGACCGCATCTCAACGAGCTGTACAGAAACTATGGACACAGGAGCTATTGTGCTGCCAAAATATGTAATTGTATTGCAGTATTATGTTGTTTCCATAGTCAAGAGTTCTACAAGTTTGTAGAAGGTAATTGAAAATTTCATTCTTTTATACATCAATTTTCCCGCCAGTGGAAGCTGATATATAACAGGCTGAAATGAGGTCACGTGTTGAGTGACAGCTCTGTGATTGGTTGCCTTGGGCCCATGTGGTTTTGACACGACACCTCTACTGTGAACATAATAATGGCCATTTTAGAATCTATCAAAACTACTGATGCGTCGATACTTAAATATATATTTGTTGAACCAAACGAACCTTTTTTTTATTGCAGTTACATCTACAATGCTATACTTTTTAATATTTTAAAGACCGAGGAAGGCCTGACAGGTTGAAATTCCTCGCTCAGATCTGCTGCCTCGTTTGAATAGGCCACGTGGACTGCGACATCAATGCAAATGGGATGGGAGAGGGCGAAGTTCTTTGGCTGGTCTTAGTTAAGAAAGGCCTTAGCAGGCCATGGCTGCACCATGACTTCAGTGAGCTCTGTGGGCTGAGGAAAGCAGCAAGAAACGGGAGAGGAGGGGGGGACTGTGCTCAAGGGCCCGTAGAGGCAGGCCTGCTATTGGCTGTAGGGAATGTGAGATCTGGGAGGAAGCCAAACCATTACATTCCGAGGACGACATTTATTTTTCATTGCATTTATGTGTATCATAAATGTGGCGAGATTAAAACGTTTGTATAAGGAGGTATTAAAAACGTCAAGGTGACATTGTGTGTGTGCATGTCTGTGTGCAGAAAGTTGGCACAGTGGTGAGCACAGTTGGTTCATCTGCAGGTCATCCCAGTCAACCCATGGCACCTGGGTCTGTTCCGTGACCTCCTGCCAGCAGCGAGCTTTCGACACTTCACATGGCCATTAAAGTGCACCTAGCATTCGCACAAGCGGCGTGGTGACGTCATCACCGCATAGTGGCGAAAGGCGGTTGCCGTTGCGGGGTTTGAGTGTTGGCGTTGCTGTGCGGGTGCGTTGGAGTTGTGGGATTCACCAGCTCGTGCGTACAGGCCTTGAGCCGTTCCTTGTCGAGCCGCGTGTGCCCGTTCTGCTGCTTGTCTTTTTTGGCCAGGGCAACAAATCGCCTGGGAAGCACATTGACATGACGCTTATTATTCAAGCTGGCGTCCATTGTATCACAGCAACAAGTTTGCAATGAGAGAGGCGTTCCCACATCAGTGATCTATCCACTGTTCTTGCGACGCCACAATCCACCGGTGCACATGAGCTTATTTTCAGGTGGACATCCTCTCGGGCATGTTCCATCCATTGCTTGCGACTCCTTTGTCTACCACCGTCCACCACTCCTCCTAACGATGTGTGCTGCTCAAGCCAAATTATTATTTTTCAAACCGTTAAATACGATGTCTTTAACGTGCATACATTCTCTAATCGAAGTGTGTCACTTCCTGACTCATCATTACCATCAGGATTCTTCATTCGTCATCACTGGAACCACGATCATCATCACTATCATCTTCCTCATCATCGTCTTCACAGTAATCTTTATTATAAATACGGTCACTTCATCGCCCACTTTCGGATGCACTTCTGCGGCCGTCTAGAATGCTCTTCCTTCCGATATAGGGAAGCGACTGGAACCATGCACTTTGAAATCATCTAGATTTAAACATAGTTTCTTTGATTGGCTTCGTACAGTGTGAAAGAAATTAAACATACATGCAATCATTGTCGTGAGCTTTGTTTTGAAGTGGCACTGAGCCGTGTCTGGCTCAGTGCTGCAGCAGCACAGCTCAGCACAAGATGGAGCAACATCGTACACAGCCCCCCCCCCCTCCCACGGTATGCGTTCCTGTGTTGGACGGACGGAGGCTGATTGGTCAATGCAGTCTGGGGCATGTGAGGTCTAGGAAAGCGATTCCTGAACAATGCCTATTACAGAGGTCCATCACTACAACACCCTTACCTAACCTTATTTTATATTTATAGTGCACCTTCACTCAAGGCGCTTGACACAGTTTCAACAACGGTGATAGAATGGAATGATTTAGATGACAAGGGTGTGCAAGGTATTGAGGCATGAGTGACCACGATAGAGGGTACTTAGGGATCACGAAGGGGTAGGGGAGAGATGGGAAGGAGTGGAGGGGCGAGGGGAGGGAAGAGGAGGAGAATGGAAAATGGATAAGAGGTGAGGCTTTAGAAGAGGACCGGATGAGGTTGAGGATGGAGATTTGTCCATGTAGAGGGGAAGTTGATTGGAGTGGAGGGGTGCAATCAGAATCCGAATCAGAATTTGTATTTATACTGGAGGAATCCGATGTCCAGTAGGGGCGAGGCAGAACGTTGCAACAACAAACAATATAAAAACACAATAGGAGTGCAAATTATAGGAAAGGTAAGCAAATCATTAAAAACATTTTAATGTATTATTTTGATTTTTCCAGGTAAAACCCCAATGAGCTATTAGCGATTTTGTCAGAAGCGACCTGGCCACAAACGTAGCTCAACAAAGTGGCTTATCACTTTGACATTTATCGCAGCCAAATAATCTAAAAAAAAAATACGGGATTGGGCGCAGGGATAATGAGGGACAGAGAGAGAGAGAGAAGATTAGGAATCAAGAGGATGATAGGAGACATAGCAGTAGATGAGAAAGGTGACGTGAGGTGGCCCGGTTGCTCACAGGCAACCCAGGCTGAGCTCCTCCAGGACTCCACGCAGCCGGCGCTCGGGGTGAGGCTTCTCCGTGCTGATGATCTCCTGCACGTCGTTGATGCCCTCCTCGAGCTTGTCGGCGGTGCTCTCCATGATGTTGGAGTTGTAGAGGCGCCAGCGCTGGTCCTGCCAGTGGCTCTTGATGTGGATGCATGGCTTCTCCTCGTAGTAGGGCAGGTGGTAGTAGTTCCTGTCGGCATTTAAAATACACTATTCAGGAAAAACAAATTTGGTTTTAAGATCATATTATATAACAAATCTCATTATATAACTAATTAGTTGTAGTTGTGAGTATTTATTTATAGTCCGATATTTAAAAATATATATTACAGCTCTTTCTCAATATACGAATGGTAACAAGGTCTCCTCTTGCCTTTCGGTCATGGGGGTAGTGATTGGGGGCACCCAGGATTAGTTTAGATAACTTGCCAATGTTAGTCGTGACCAGGAATCCAACTCAGGTCGCTGGGTTCATGAAGCAGCGCGTTAAAAACACTGCACCACTGCTCCAGTCGAAAGTCTGATAATTCTGAGGATTATAATCCTAAAGTTTGAGGATTATAATACTAAGAATTAATGAGGGGTGGGGGGGGGGGTCACCTGTCTGTGATGACGGGTTTGCGAGGCGGAGTGGTGGACATGGTGCCCATGTCGGACTCAAAGTTCTCCTCGTCGAAGGTGCGCGACAGGAGTTCCACCTCGTCGTCGTTGGCCGACTTCTTCTTGCCTGGGTCGGCTTTGTCCGTCCCATCAATCAAGCTGCCGTAGTTGCCTGGTGCACGCAGGCACAAGGACAACCAAGCGACACTAAAAAGGCCGCGAAATTTGGTACGATCAAAGTCTCACGGTTTATAAAAACACTCAGGCTAAATAATGCTTTTAAAAAATATTTTAAGGTAAAAATAACAACTCATGTAATTATTAAAGTCACCTACAGCGGCTGCAAAGTCAAACATTTCCCCTTTAGGCTGGAGAGCATGTGTGACGTGTAATTGTTCGATACCTGAGAGATAGAAAAGCACTCAAACCGACCCAGCCTTTTAGGCTTTGTTCTAGAACCCCGTATTAGAGTTTTTATATTTTACATAAACAGTGACAGACTGACAAACAGAGACCATGGGTGGGATGTTTCACTTGCGCCAAAGTTCCCCATTCCAACGCCATTCAAACCGTCGTGGTCATCTCTGTCCGCGAGCGCCACCAATTATGGCTGACCACGAGCTTCGTGCCACACGCATGCACGTGGACATGTAATTCTCCGCACAAATAAACACACGGTGTAAAGTTGCCGCCTCAGTGAAGGTGTACAAAACACAATGGGTAAATGACAAATAGCACAAAACACATGTATTGAAAGATCTTGCTATTTTAGGTGACCGGAGAAGGCCAGAACAAGGCCAGTTGGTCAGAATTTGAGGGTATTTCTTCCCTCTTGGTAACCGCAAAAAAATAAACCATTCCAGTATTATAGTGAGCCTGTAATTCATTAAATAAAAAAAATCACAGATAAACATCCACGCGTTTCACACATATTTATTTGCAGGATTGTCGCTCATAAGTTAAACAACAAACCCCGTATTTTGACCAAATAGGTTTTATCGGTTGGTAACATACTGTATGGAATTTTTTTTAATCTACATCTGAAAACGTTGAAAGAAATGTCACAGATTATTTGAAATGATGTTAACAAGCAAGGTGTGAATCGTCACCTATGGTCACTTCGAAGTTAATCGGCTTGTCGCCAATCTTGCGGTCAATCATCGTTGCTTCCAGGAAGGTTCCAAAGAGGAAGAATTCGTCAATCCTCCCTGTGGAATTCTGAGGAGATGAGAACACAACACAGAGCGCCCCATGGAACCTACGTTCCACACCAGCGTCGCGGTGGCGTGCCATGCTGAGACCGTGCTCAACACAAAGAGAAAAATCCACCGTGTAGCCTTACATACTCTTGGGGCAAGTGCTGTTTAGTGAGTAGCACTTATGAAGGCCTGAACACGAGGGGGTGGGTGGCAAGCACCACGCCGGGCCGCCTTTGTCTCCCCAGTGGCGATGTTTTTACACACCGCACCAGGTACTAATTTGAAGCCGAGTTGATCTAGAGGAGGCCCAGGACTGGTTCAGATAATCGTCGTTGGCATTAGTGGCCATAAGCGGGAATGGACCTCAGGTCGCTGGGTTGGTAGCGCAGCGCGCTAACTACTACTACACTACTGCTCCGCACACACACAGCTAGCGAAAACCCTAGTGGTGTCATTATTATTTCACAACTACAATGCAATAGATACGGCTTCGTTTAGGGAAAACTGTGATAAGAAACAAAGCAATCATTAAACTTTAAAACTAAAACTATTATCATCGAATCATAGAAAAAAGACACGTAGATTAATATATTTACGCAAACGTCTCTCGGCATAAAATAATGACAGTAAAGATCCTTAACGGGGTTACATTTGAACACGCACAATGTAAATACAAGTAAATGTGCTTAATTTTCCAGGATTTCCACATCGGGTTGTTGTTTAGAATTGTTGGATGGTGTATTTTTCATTCCACGTAGCTACGCAGGCAATAACACCTGTTCCCATCCAAGCAGTAATCACGCTCAAGCCTGCTTAGCATCCGCGGTCTAATGACATAGGGCTCATCCTGGGTGATCTGGGGGATTTGGAGCTACGTGTGGGCCACACATCAAGATACGTTGTGGCACTCGACTCATATGTTTCCGAGTATGAATGAATGTATTCCCACGTGAACCCTAGCTTTGTGGCACCAGAAAAGCTGCTCACGAGTTCCTGCAGTACCGTGAGACCGTGGGGCTCGCAATGCTGTGGGTTTTGAAGGAATCGCAAAAAGCACGTTTTATGTGTGTGAGAAGTGAGATAAACAAGTTACCATATCGGCGTTATTATATTCCCAATTATTATTCCGATTTTGATCAACAATTAACGTGTTATAGTCACAGTACATTGCGGCAACCGTGTAACATAGCGAACCGAGTCTGAAATTTTCAGACTTAAAAAATATATATTCTAAGCCAACTCTTCTCTGAGAGTCCATCTTCTTCACCTATTGTGGCTACAAAGTGTCCTTATAAGTGTAATTATTAGGCACAGTAGGAATGTTGCACAGGAAAACAGACATACAGGCAGAGTGAAATTGAATTTCAGTTATAAACTGAATAATTAGCGTAATAATTAATGAGTGCAGAAAACATTCATCATGGTCAGAGGAGAGGAAAAAAGTCAGTGTGGTCTTGATGTTGGTGTACGCCACTGGTAGGTAAATTACCAATATAATGAGCCAAGAATGTCGGTGTGCAACGCGCGTGATGTCACTCCACGTCGACCAGCCCCCCTCATTAATAATTATGAACAGGTGGGGTCCTCCACATGGACCCCCCCCCCCCACCGTCATTAATAATCATGAACGGGTGACGTCATTCCGCGTGAAGAAGATTGAGTGGAAACGAAAATTTGTTTACGCAAATTAACTTTCATTTTGACCTTTCTTCATGGAAAGTAAAGCTACTAAAGAATCAACGCAGCAACGATTATAACAAGCAAAAAAACGGCTGTGTGTGTGTCCCGTGCGTGACGTCACTCCACATGCCCCCCCCCCCTCATTATTATTCATGTGTGCCAGGATTTTTTTGACTAACGCAGAAGGTCGAGCGGAAATGATAATTTTTTTTACGCAAATTCGCTTTAGATTTTACGTATCCTTATAGAAAGTGAAGGCAACAAATAATTATACGCCGCATCACAGTGCATTTGTTGTCTTTATTTATTTATTTATTCCAACAGAATGCAAGTGATCTACTTTACGCTCCCCAATTATTCTACAATAAACGTTTCTCTGTTACTTTGCGGACACTGAATCGAATTCCAATTGTTTTCAACCTTCAGCGAGCGAAAGCAGATAAAAATAAGTAAGCATCAGAGCGGTGAATTGCAAGTAATTGAGCGTCCGTTAAATACTGTGTCACTGTGACATTACGTCAGGTGTTTTATGACTTTGTTGCGTGCAACAACCACTGCCATTCATGCAGTGCTGCGGTCAAATGCTGTGACGTGTTTCATGACTTCCTTTTGTGCAACATTCACTGCCATTAATACAGTGCTATAGTGAAATGCAGTGAAGTGTTTGATGACATTATTTTTTTTCAATATTCCCTGCCGTTACATTTAGACAAGATACAATTATACTCTGATCAATTTATTCGTAACTCTAATGCTCCTCTTTGGTCTTCGTTATTTGCTAAGTTACTTCAGACATTATCAGCACTCTACTTTCTTCACTCCTCGCTATCAAGCGTCCATCGGTGAAGATAAATTTGTCAGTTAACAGCTTCAGGTGATTTGAAAACAGTGGTAAAGTGAAGTTACGGGGTTTTTTTTTAATTAAACAGCCGCAGATATTGTTGTTCACCTTTGCAACCGAGGCGAAATCGTCTTCATCCCGAGAATCGACCTAGCTCCAAGTGACGTTACTCTTCCTGTCGTACTGAAACGACGACAAATTCCGACAATTCCTGCGTATGCGATGACGATCAGCAAGTCGCAGGGTCAGACTTTTGATAATTTGGGTATTTATCTCAATTAACCCGTATTTTCCCATGGCCAGTTGTACGTGGCTCTGTCTAGATCTAAATATCCTCAGCGGATCAAAGTGTTCATCAAGGATAGCCAACTGCAGGGAAACCTATTGAACAGTGATAAGAGATTCACACAAAAAATGGTATACCGGGAAATCTTCCAAAGTTCTTAATTTCATTTAATATGTTAAGAAAAATGTATTTACGTGCTACATTTCCTAATAAAATTCACAATCACACAATAAAGCGTGAATTTATATCTTTAATATTACAGCTTCCGTCCTAGGACGGGCTAACAAGCTAGTACAATATAAATACGCAGCCATATAATTGCTTGCTCGTGTCACTGCTGGTGGAAGGGTCTCCACTAATGGGAGCTCTAGAAGGCCTCCTCTAGAGGGTATTTGGCTTGCTCTTCCATACTGGCCACATGCCTCTAACTGGTGACTTATGAACTGCAGGACCGGCGTGCTAACCGCTACACTGTGGTAGCGTTCTTCGTCACTGACATCTCGTATCAGTCTGGGCCTCACCTCAGAGATCGGCGGGATGGTCTCTGACTGGATGTCGGTGGAGCTGGTGACATCGGGCGAGGAGGTGTCCAGGAACTCCATGACGATGGAGATGAGGAGGCGGGCACGGAACGAGACGCCCTCCCCGAGGCCCTCGTTGAGCTCCTGGTGCTCGTCCATCAGGGTATAGTTCCGCGTCGAGCCATACATGTTCACCCACGCGGGGCCAAACGTGGGCAGGAAACCTGCGGGCGAATGTTTTTGCAAAATCCTTTCGCGATGATTCCTTGGACATGCAGTGGCCCAGTCACAGGTTAGAGCCCAGCTCTAGCTTGTTCGAGAGCGGTCACGGAAACGAGGCACCCAAGTAACGCAGCAATGCTTGTGACCCCAAGAACCCAGCAGCTCCTTCGCACACATCGGTGCTGCTGTTAATGTCTAGGATGGAGGCTCTCAGTCTGGAGGATGCACACCTCCAGGTGGCTGCCAGAATGAGTCGTTGCGTGCCCTCTGAAGTGGCATGGGACCTACAAAGTGCCCCGTGTTTTGGGGAAAAAAGGGGGCCCGAGGTTTGCCATCGGTGAAGGGGCCCATGGTCTGCTACTTCCGCGTCATGGCGATAATACGCTGTCGGTTACAATGGGATCCATCAGGATCTGTGCCGGAGGTGGTCACCGGTGCAAAAAGGTTAATATCCACTTGTGTAGGGGGTGACTTTTTAAAGTTTCTTATCTGATATTTTTTTTACCACCGATTATATTTCAATTGTGCCATGGTCATTATGTCAATAAATGATGCCAATTCAATCAGTAACTCTCAAAATCTGTCAGAGCTGGCCTTGGCCCATTTATTTATTTATTTATTCATTAATTGAATCCACCCAGACTGGATCTTAGTGGTGCTGGCTCAATAGTGCGGGCTCAGTGCATGAGCACCACGAGCTATCTGGCCACCGCACAGGACATGAAAAAGATCGTGAGGTTTCACAATCAACCATAGGCTTTCGGGTTGTACTGCGTGTTGCTTTTCGGCAGAACGTCTGACAGCTTCCTAAAAGAAGCTCCCGGCACGCGGAGTGAAGCATCGCACATCGCCATCGGAGAGCTACACAACGACGGCTCAGCGGCGACCGTCGCTTTACCCTTGTCTCCCTCGTTGGCGATCTTCCTCAGGTCGACGAAGTGCGTGCCGATGGCCACGTCGTTGACCTTGTCGCTGTCTCGGATCTGGATCTTCATGCGCCGCACGAGCGGCGGAAACATCTCCGTGAAGATGACCTGCTCGTTCCACACGGGCTCGCAGCTGCCCTTCTGTACCGACGTCTTGCCCTGAGCGAGCCGAGAGATCGTCGTCACAAAAAAGCATTCGCTCGAGCACGTCCACGGGGTGGGGAATGCGTTTCGCTCATTGAAATTGTAAATTTAGTTGTTGAGCCAATATGATTACGACGTTGGTAACAGTCGAACGTTTGAAAATAAGCACCATACTTCAGAATCTAGATGAGCTATGAAGCTGTTTTTTTACAGATGTTCAGTCGGAACAGGTTAGCAGGTTACAACAAATAATATAAAACAACCAATAGGAGTGAAAAATAGAGAAAAGGTAAGCAACTCATTGTGAGACGGTGAGCTGTGGTGACGGATTGGGAAAAGGCCTTCAACCAGCAGTAGATAGATCACAGCCGCCATTGATGATAATTATCCACATGTAAAAAAAAGTCCGAGAGGTGAAAACCAAAAAACCCCACAGAACACAACCTACACTCGAGCGTAAATTTAAGTGGCACCTTCTGCCCGGCGAAGGAGATAGAGACGTAGGGGTCGACCATGTCCTTGTCGTCGCCCGTCAGCGCCTTTTTTACGTTGGCCATTAGGCTGGTGTTCATCTTGGGGAGGCCCTCTGCGCGGTAGATGCGCACGTAGAAGCGGGCCCACTGCCTCTCCACGGGGACGCCCTCCGGCAGCAGGAGGTTGCTGTTTGACGTGAAGCCACGACGCACACGGGATTTGTCACGGGCGGTGGACGCGCCGCCGGGTATAGTTGACGCAAGAGGCTGAGATCGCCAACAGAAATGAGCATCTACAAAAATGCGTTTGACCCTGTAGGCGCTCTGACGGCGGCTACGACTGAAGTATTGTGAGCAGCGTTGTAATTGCACGGGTAAAACATGTCTATGTGTTTCCTCGTGGGCTTTGCAAAAAAATAGCAAAAAATTCTGCAGTAGCGTTGTGTTGCCCCGACATTTCATAGACAAGTCCGTGCAAGCGTCTTGCGATGAGGATTGCTTTGGAAGCTATATAAATCCCAAATGTAGATGTGAACTTAAAATTTGCGTCTAACCACAATCAGCACGTCAAACAGTTTTTTCTGCAGTACAAGAAGAAAACTCTTCTTGTTTGAGAGTTTGATTGTCCCCACACCTATCAAAAGTACTCAAGAGTTCAAAAGTAGATATTTTATCTTAACATGCAGCCGTGTAATGATGCATCAATTCAAATCGATTATTTGACTCACCAATATATTAATCAATGTGTTTCAACTTGTGTACATCTTATGTAATGGGTTAATGGGAGTACTGCAATCACGAGAGGGCCACTATATTCACCACAATATAAAATTAACCCCGGAACCATCTGCAACATCGAACGTGACATATCGCACTCTGAAGAGCGTGAAGTGGTGGCGTCTGCTATTGCTGTTGAGCAACAGAGTGGCGTTTTTGCAATGGAACCCTCAGGAAATTCTGTGGCATCTCTGACGTTACGGCATTGCGCTCATGGCTACAAAAGTTTCGAAAGAATCACTCTTTGATTCACATTGAACAAATGGAATGCATATTAGTGATTATATATCGATCAAAAAAACCATTGCCTTCTAGAGTTGAACGTGAATGTATTGTCACAATTCGTGCATATGGAAGCCAACACAGCGATACCAATGCTAAATAAACATTTGCACCGCACACCCGAGTTCATTGCAACCAGGCGAGGTTTAAGCAGTTAACGGCCGAAAATTTGAATGTATAATTGATTTCAAATGTAAAAGAGGTCCAATATTTTGGCAACGTAACGACGATGGAGCATTTGCACCGGAAAATTACCACCCTCAGGACTCGGCACGTGCACTGCGCGGACTCGGCACGTGCACTGCGTGGACTCGGCACGTGCACTGCGCGGACTCGGCACGTGCACTGCGCGGACTCGGCACGTGCACTGCGTGGACTCGGCACGTGCACTGCGTGGACTCGGCACGTGCACTGCGCGGACTCGGCACGTGCACCGCGTGGACTCGGCACGTGCACCGCGTGGACTCGGCACGTGCACTGCGTGCACTCGGCACGTGCACCGCGTGGACTCGGCACGTGCACCGCGTGGACTCGGCACGTGCACTGCGCGCAGCTATCACGGCGCGCTGCCCTTGTCGCCAGGCAGCCTGCGTTCGCTCGCAGGGCCGCGGCTGCTAAAGGTCGCCCACGCCGCGTCGTCCGCGTGGGGTGCGGTGGAGAGAGCCCTGGATGCCGCGCCGCGGCCGTCGAGGCACGCACCCGTCCACGTCCTCGTCCTCCGACTCCTTGGACTTGTGCAGCGTCTTGATGGTGTCCCCCTTCCCCACCACGGCGATGTCGCACTTCAGGTAGCCCTTCACGCCCGACGTGATGTCGTCCGGGTCCGACAGCACCGCCCACTTGTGGTAGAACTGGTGCTCTGTGAGACGGGAGGCAGGCAGCGGTGGTGCAGCGGGTTAGCGCGTGGCGCTACGGGGCCGGCAAACCTGCGTTCGATTCCTGCTCACGACCAAAAACGGTGGGGAAAATCTGAACCAAACTATTCAACCATTTTTTTTTATTTCATCAGGTAAGGCTCACTGAGCTATGCAGCTCTTTGTCAGAAGTGACCTGGCTACGACAAATGATTGCTCATCGAAGTGGTTGATAATGTGGAAATGTAGAGCAGCCAAATACGCATGTTTCTAAATGTGGAGGGAAAAACCGGAGGACCTGGAGAAAATGCACACGACCACGGGGAGAGAGACACGCAGACTCCAACTATACAGGGGTTAGGGTCGGGATCGAACCCCCGATCTCTTGCATACCAGGCGACGGAGTTAACATCTTGACCCTGCGGCACCCAGAAACCAGTCCTGGGCATCCCCTAGGTCGACTCAGCCTCATAGGAGAATCTTGTGCGGTGTTGGCCACCCACCCCCTCGTGTGCCGTGGCAGCTTTCATTAGGTGCTCGCTGACAGCACTTGCCTCAAAGGCCTGTTAAAGGCTACACATGGGATCTTTGTGTGACAGAGCGAATGCAAGTTACAACTGGGGTACATTTCATATGAACCAGCGGTGTTTAACATTGCATCATTTATGTATTCATTTGACTGGGTGTGATATTCACTGTGGATGCAAACGGTATCATGCATAAGTTTAAAATGTGCGTTCAAGTGTCATTACGTGTTTGCTACGTATGTGTCTTGGACAGCCGTGCAAATGAGATGTTCCATCACGAAGGGAATTTTCAGGGTGCAGTATTTTAACAAATTAAAGAAAAATGCACGTCTGGTATTGATAGGCCTCTGACACTCGGCACCCTCAACATTTACATAATCAAAGTCTTTGCTATGTTACGTTGGTTTTTTCCGACAGCATTTAATTTTTCCAATGAGATGAACGTGAAATGTGATGTGTGTGTGTATTTTAATGCATGACAAAAAAAGTGGCGGTTTAATAACCGCCACTTTTTTCAAATTTTCTTGTTGTGGTTTTCACACCTGATGATGATTGCTTGTGTTGCAGTCGAAACGTCGTGAGAATTTTATTGTTTTATATTTTTATTATTTTATTGTTTCCCTTCTACGTGACTTTACCGAAAGAACCAAGAATAAGGTTGGAACTGCTGACGGGGGCTGCCTACGCTCGTCATTCGTCAATAAACTAAATACGAACAGTACAGCACAATCTACGGGACTCTTTATGCCAGTATTAAGATGATAAAAGAGAAAAAAAAGGCTTTATCCTTCCTGGAAATAATGCAAGAGGTGTTAAGATGTTAAAACACCAAATTGACACCTATTACAAAGGCATTCGAGTCTGCATTCACCACGCATACTTGTGGTAAAACATGCCAACCAATATTCTTTCACAATGTATGCATTGTCCTTGAAACTGATTGGCCTACACCAGAGACAGCCTCCGTCATGGAGGCTGTCTCTGGTGCTGTAGAGTAAAGAACGCAAAAAACCGCAAAAGGACGATGCAAATGCCAAAGCAATAATAGCTCAGGCTAAGGCAGTTTTATCTACAGATGTTAGATAACATCAGTTTCAAGGGTAATACATACATTATCGAAGCATATTTGTTTGCATTTTTTTACCACGTGTGTGTGGTTAATGCAGACTTTATTCTTTGTAATAGGTGTCTATTTGGTATTTTAACAACTTACCACCTCCCGTATTATTGGCAGAAAGAGTAAAGTATATTTAAAATCAGTACAACACAGCACAAGGGCGTACATCTGACTCGCTGGTGACTCAGGTAGAGGTGGATGCGTGAAAAGGTCTGGCTTGCAAACATCTGAAGAAAATGACAGTAACACCATGCACAAATAGTACACTGGGTGTGGGCGGGTTAATGGTTCCGGGTGAACATGTGATGATCGGATATGTGACGTTTTACCGTTGCACGATGGAAAGTAAAAACTGGTGTCCGAAGGAGAAATTGTCTCTTGCCTTGCGACTGTGAAATACCCACCACCAGTGGAAGTGACGCTGCCTAGGGTTTGTTTCAGCACCGAGAGACTTTGCCTTTAACGTTTCACTCTCCTCAATACCATTCTGAAGACGTCTGGAAGGCCAGTACCAGCTGGGCTGTAGCTTAGCAAAGTAGTATGGCTTCCCACCATTCCATTTGGACATTAAATTGGTCGCAGGCTTGAATCCGTTCATGATTCCTCTAGCACTGGTGACATGAGCACAACCGGTAGGGGCACTAGAGTTAATGTGCTACCGCTAGGCCATGAGTTTCGCAGTTTAATCCTATTGCCGCCCTGGTTAATATAGTTGGTGTATTAAAATAATGTGCCGTCCGCTTCTCAGTGACAATACATATCTCTTATTATTAAAATAGTAGGCCATGTGTGCTGGCGTCATGGTTAAAGTTGCCCAAAGTGGAGCATGACCTGCCAATTACATAGTTGGGTAAAACCACACAGCCAGATCACCCCCTACTGGCACACTATCCGTCTGTGAAACATTGCACAAATCGCATTTGTGTTCTAAGGCACACGTACCAAAAGGCACTAATTATTATTCATTATAAGATGCATGCAAGTCAACCGTGGCTGTCCTGCATAGAGACCACCGCTGGGGAATCTCAACCGCTGGCTCAGGAGCGGCAGCGTCAGCACCACCCAGCGATGGTTGAAGCGCGCCGAGTGTGACTTTCACTTGACCTCCAGCGGTCACACCGATGCCAGCTTCAGTCTCAATTCGTCTTTTGCCTACGCATGCTTCCAAAGCTCAATTTGCTCTCGTACATACCCCTATGCCTGCCGATCTCTAACTACTACAAATTTAACTCAGAAAAATATCAAATGTGCAATAGGGTCCCACTTAATAGGCATATGGAAAATCTCAGTTTTCTTGGATCACTCCCTCCTCGCAATATGTAACTTTTGGTGTAAAAGCCAACGGCTGAGAATGCCGTTCAACTCTGTTCATATTTACCGGCTGTTCAGGGTCCCCCCTCCATTTCATCTCCGCGTCTATGACCTGTGCTGTGACTCTGCGTGTTAGCGACTGTCATGCATTTTTCAATTCCTTCAAGCAAACCGGCATATTTCTTTAGGGATTTCTCTCTAAACCCACTGTGGCCTCAGTTTAACAGGAAAATGTACAGACCCTTAAGGGGCATGCAACGTTGAAAACAACAAACGTGAATTATTGAGCATTTTTAGCCCTAACGGGCAAATAAGGAAATGAGAGATTGTGTGAACATTAGTGCCAAAGCAATAGATGAACAACACCACAACACTCGTAATGAACTCTGCCTCGTAACAGAAACACATTGTGCTTGCGCACCACCGCCAATTCACTCTCATTAGTTTTTTTTTATTTGTACGTTGTAGCCTCCTCCCTCCTCCTCCTCCTCCCTCTTCTTCTCAAATACAGTAGATCTTCTAAAAGATGATTTAAATGAGTTATTAAATATACCTCCAGAAGTGTGAATTGTTGGCAGTGTGTGTGTGTATAAATAATTTCTCTTGCATGACTGCCGTGAAATTTGTGTCCTCGCTAACGCCTTGCTCCCTAAAGCATTGGGTACTGCAGCTCTCTTCATTCACTCAGCAGTACACGCCAGGGCTCCAATTACACTACATTATAAATGTCCACAGAGAAAAGTACGATCTTACCCAAATTTGCATTGCCAGTTTGCTCTAACTCAGACTATTTTTAAACTGGTCGGCTCTTAATTCACCACGTGAACAATCTTTATTGGTTCAGCACCCCATCTCTGGAAAGGATTATGTATCACATAGCTTGAGTTTGATACACATTTTGTTTCCTTCCCCAAGCTGAAGGTATCTAAAGCACCAAGCCAAAATCCACACGTACATGTAGAGAACACTTGGCGATGCAGCAAAATTAGTTTGTGAACTAACTGTATCTCGAATGGCCCATGCATGAACCCCGCACTGCCCAGTGGAGTCACACACTACGGCTCTTTGTTTGTGCGTGGGCACACCTACCTGACTCCTATTCACCTGGACTACAAGCAAGCGTCGGTGACACCTGGTCGTTTCTCTTGATATTATGGTGTCATGGTTAGCACACCGGACATCCAATTCAAAGGTTGCCGGTTCAATTGCATATTTTGGTGCAAGAACTGAAATAGTTGGAACGTTTGTTTAATAAATCCCTCCCCGGTTTCCACCAAGCAGTATAAATGTGTACACCACAGTCAGCCAATCGGTAGATCACGCATGGGTATCCCACCTCTTCGAAGGAGTCTAGCCAGTTTGGAAGCATAGGAAAAATATTCTCTATTTTATTCATTGGCTATTGAATTCTGTCACCTAAAAGAACAACAACAACAACGACGTTAGTTGTGCTGTCTAATCCCAAGACGCATTGACTTCAACAGCCTGAGGCAGGGCCAAGCAAAGGAGTTGTGCGAGTAGAGCTCAGAAGAAGCACGCAGGGTGCGGAGTGGGGGGGGGGGGGGTTGTGAGGGGGGTGCGAGGGGGGTTGTGGGGGGGGGGGTTGTGAGGGGGGTTGTGGAGGGGGGTGCCGGGGGGGGGGGTGCGAGGGGGGTTTTGAGGGGGGTGCCAGGGGGGGTTACGATGGGGGGGGGATGTGAGGGGGGGTTTGAGGGGAGGTATAAGGGGGGGGGGTTGTTGGGGGGGGTGCACCTGGCTGAGTGTACACGGTCCCCACGTCCAGCTTGAACATGCCCACCAGCGTGCCGCTGCGCAGAATGTTCCGTGAGTGAATGACCTGCCACGGACACAATTGAAATGTCACCTTCGCTTCAGTGCATCTGCACTTGAGCACCGCTGGACATTTTGCCACTTGATGTAAAATCATAGAGCTAGTTTGAGTTATATGGAGGGGATTGTAGCAGATAACTATAATCAGTGTAAACACTTTTAATGCATATTTCTGGTACATATTAAATTCTTCCCTCCAAAGAGCCATGCTGTGTTAGAGTAGATGCTTGATTTTTTACACGTGCCCATGTGGATACAATTATTTTTATTTAATAATTATGTTACATGCCGTATACTTCGTGGCTTTGAGAATTTTAATTTTGTAGTTGTATTTACCGAAATAGCATTCGGAATATGAAAACGGTTAAATATTACAATAGAGGTCGCATTCTCTCCCTGCCCCTCTCTTTATGTATATGGAATTGCTGGAGCACAGCTTTTAGTCCATACTGTCATGTCAAATGAAAATGGCTTTAATGATCTCAGGCTTGTAAATTGAATTACATGATCAATCAAAATGTGGTAGAGTATTTAACGCATTCAACATTGATGCAGCAGCTAAACATGCAGTTGCCCTAACCAGAAATTGCGTTGGTTCGCAGCACACAACTGTTCATGCACGGTTTTTAATCCGATTAATCACTTACGGAGAGTTTGACAATCTTGTCAAACAGGACTTCAGGAGGCACGTGGAAATCAAATACGAAATACTGAAAAGAAAATGCATTGAAAATTAATTGGAGAACATCGATCACCACAATTTCGCTTGGCATCTGATGAGATTGTGCATTGTAGGTGTGATGAATTATGTGCATGCGTTAAAGATATTTTTCGTACATAGTATTATGACTATAAGGGCCACAGGGAGATGAAGCCGGGAGACTGGGACAGGAGGTACATCTCATTCTGCAATATCACCTATTTAAGAAGACAGAATGGAACTCATGAAAAAAATGTAGAATATTTTTTAAAGTCATTATCACCTATTCTTGGGTATTTCGGTAAAGTCACATAGATAGGTTCAAAGAAAAGAACAAAAAAATCGGAAATCGCTGCAATCCTCAAAAACGCTAAGACACCTATTAGCAACATCAGTAAAGATGAGCGCTTTGAGTTTTCTCAATTAAAAAATAGAGATAACATCGTCATCCTCTCAGCCTACAAGGGCAATGCCACAGTCATCATGGACAAAACCACATACAATAACAAAATTCAGGACCAACTTAATGATGGTAGCTATACCAAGATTAAAAGAGATCCCACCAGCCGCCTCATTACGAAAACCAACAATATCATTATTGATTCGACATCTTTGAACGAACCAACCAAGCGGTTTTCCTTAAAACCCTCTGCTGCTAGACCACCCAGATTGTATGGCTTACCAAAAATCCATTAAGAAGGTACACCCCTTCGTCTTATCGTCTCCACTATTGACTCACCCACCTACAAATTGGCCTGATTTCTGTCTGAGACCTTACAACCATTCACTGGTAAGACCGCCTCAGTTGTACTTAACTCAGCTCACTTGGTATCGAAATGTCGTAGTTTTTCGTTTTTTGTATTTTTTTGTTATTTTCTTTGAACCTATCTACGTGACTTTACCGAAAGACCCAAGAATATGAATCCCTGCAATCACGAAAGCTTTAAGTCATTATCACCTCTTGACAGTTTATCAGCGGCATGACAAAACGAAGATACAACGAATACAATTAAACTTAATTGTATTTCACAAGGACATAGCCAATGGCACTTACACATGACAAATATTATGAAAGACATTTGGATTTAAAAGCCTGGTGCATTTTGATAAATCCAGGGATAATAGAGTTTGAGACCAGTAGTAAACAAAACAAGCTGCATACACAGCCAACAGAATTTCTGCCACCTCCACTGCCTCATGCTAGTGGTGAGTACCCGGTAAAGGTGTAACACCCCGTTGGTTGGGATCAGATTGAATATGATCCACGCGCTGTTAATGTGATTGGATAGGCTCAGGTGATCAGGCGGATTGTGATGAGGTGGATAGGGTTGCACACAATTAGAATAGAATTGGACATCATCCTAATCAGCTGATCCAATTAAAAAAACATGCGCGTGGCCAGATCTCGAACCTACAATGTTGGATTTCATAAAAAAAAAACATTCAAGGCTAATAGTAGTTGCAATATACATTTAAAGCTCAAAAGCAGTTGTACAATATTTATGTTTTAATTCGTTTATTCTAGTTTGGATCACTTTACTGGCAAATGAGAAGTAATATAATGAATGGCACAATTCTGTGATAATTGAGTGGTAATTCCCAAGGCTCATAAAACCAGAACACACACACACACAGCCTTGGGATTCTTAAGAGTTAATTCTTAACACCCGAGGGTAGAGCTGTCAAAACTATAATCCACGGGCTCGCTTAATCTGGTCTCTGGCATTACTCATACTATTAGAATGTGCCTGAATAGTTTTTTTATATTAAATTGATTTGGTTAACTTTATTAAATCGCACAGCTGTGTGAAACAACTCAAGGAACTGTCCAGCTCAATATAGCCTTTTGAAGTCACGTGACACAGGAGCAGTGGGATTCAGTGAGGGGTGGGAACATTGTGAGGACTGTACCAGTGTACTTTTATCTCAATATATCTCTCCTATTTTGTCTTTACATCTCTAGTTAATACATGGCGCTCCGTTGCCTAATATCTCTTCTGAATACATCTCTCTCATGCCTCTCTTCTTTCCCTTCTGATTATCTCTTCATTGTCTCTCTCTTTTACCTTACATCTCATTTCATTTCTATATCTCTTGTCGTATATCTCTTCCGAATGCATCTGTTGCATATTTTCTATCGCTTATGAATATCCCTCTTATCTTTCAATGTATACGGTGCATCTCGCTCCTCTCTATATTTCTCACTTCCCGCTCATCTGAATATATCTTGCTTCTATTGATCTATCTCCCATCTCCTCTCTATTATCTCTCATCTCTAGCTCATCTGGATGTATCTTGTGCTTATCTAACTTCCATCTCTTCTGAATGCATCTCCCATGCCTCGTTCGCCTCTTGTGCGAGAATGCAGGCAAACATTTTCCTCTGCGCATGTCATTTCTCATTCAACAATTACACGCCTGGCTTGCCTCGCCGTGTGGTACAAAGAATCTGCTTTAGCCTACAGAAAAGCCCCCCCACCCCATCCTTCCCCCACTGAGTTCACGCACGCAGGTCTCCCGGAGTCACCTCATTGTAATAGGGGCAATTGGTGGACTCCTTCATGCTGGTGTACTTCTTCTCCTCCCCGACCTCGACGCACACCACCGGGTCCATGTTGAGACCCATCAGCTGACGAGCCTCGATGATCGTGATGCTCACCTGCGAGGGGCAATGGCATGCGCATCATTCGCAACCAGAAACAAGCCAAGAGTGTTTCACACCACAACAACAATGACAACAGCCGTCATTCTCCGCTAAGTGGCGGTGACGTTACCCACAGTGTTTGCTGCAAGGTTTGGGTGCACTTTGAAGCCATATATATGAGTGTTGTAGACTCGTCAGCAGGAGCTCGGGGGGGTGTTATGGGTTAATTATATTATTGTAAGGGTTGCTTCTCTGTCTTTTGCTGTTGCTGGAGGGTGGCTGCATTGAGCTGCCCAGAAAGCGTCCTTCACGGGTCTATTCTACAGGGACCAACCCTTGACATCATTTATATCAATTATTGGAAAATTTGCTCCTTTCTTACGTCAGCCCAGCTCCTTTCTCATGCTGCACCACCCATATAGCTGCCTGTATCCAGCAAGACAACAGCTGCTTGGGCATTCTGTGGATGAGCACGTGAGCTACATGTCCGAGCCAAATCATTCTCGCCTGCTAGAGTAACTCGCTGATGGAACTCTGTCCATATCTTTAAATGATCTGTGACTTCACAAAATCTGGTCTGCCTAAATTCTGCATGTATCGTGGCAACCCAAAACGAAGGAATATTTCAAGCTGGCACAGGTGTTCCTGTAAGGGGGTTCATGCTCTACAGGCGTAGACAAGATAGGACATGAGTGCAGTTGAATGAGTGTGGAGCAACAGATCAGGCAGTTTCCATACAGCGTTAAGCAGCTGATGAAAAGATAACCCGCCGGCCAAATGATTGGGATTGAAGCCTCCGCTGCGTGCCAAGCTGTAGCTGGCCAAAAATACACTCCCCAAATTGGAGAATTCCTCATGAAGCCACTCGTAGAGGGTTTACGGGGTGGAGTGTTTTAATAAGTGAGTACCCAGGCAGGTGTTATATTCTGGTGCACTGATGTTGAGGCCCCAACTCTTTATGGACAGCAGAGCCTCCAACTCTTCAGTGAGTAACAATTACCAGGTCATCAGCATTCATATCATTGTTGATCAGAAATTACCACACCCGGGCATCCACTAGCCTCCCATTGTATCTGTAGCATTATTAAGGCTCTGAATAATTGTGAGCAGAGGGTCAGGGACCCCCTAAGGTGTGAAGAACAACCCAGCCCTGGCCTCTTAATATTATTGTAGGCCTTGACCAGGTCAATTCAGCAGAGGTGTAGGTCCTGGTCATCTCTGCTGTAGCACACAGACAATATGGCGTCGGTGTACTATTGCCCCTGCCTGAATTCACATTGGGGCTTCACAAGCTTCTCCTTGGCGTGTCTGCCTCATCCTCTCACATGCAGATTTAAGCAATGTGAGTGCAACGATGTTGCTGTGCCTGGGTAAGGCCACCTCAATATCACAACAACCTAAGAGCAGTGCTGAGGACCCAGTAAACACGCAACATTGGCAAATTTTTGCAATCGCTGAACTGGCATTGACCCAACGTTCCATCTTCTTTGGTTCTTTCGGTAAAGTCACGTAGAATGAGAATAAAATAATAAATTAATAAAATAACACAATAAAATTCTCACGACGTTTCGGCCACAACACAAGTGGCCTTCTTCAGGTGAAAGGAACAGACCTGTCGGGACAACAGAGCTTCAATGAACGTTGTTAAGATTCGTAGCGTCTTTTAAGCTGGTTTAGAGAAGTGAGGCACCTTGACAAAGGGGTTTACATATCAAACAGGAGAATTTAGCATTGAAATAGCTGAGTGATTAGCTTGTGACTAGTCATAGAAATAGCTATGTTAAGGTCAAAGCTTACACATCCACAGAGGCACCTAGTACAAATCAAACAGGATAATTTAGCATTGAAATAGTTGAGTGATTAGCTTGTGACTGGTCACAGAAATGGCTATGTTAAAGTCAAAGCCTACACATCCACAGAGGCACAAAGTACAAATCAAACAGGAGAATTTAGCATTGAAATAACTGAGGGATTAGCTTGTGACTGGTCATAGAAATAGCTATGTTAAAGTCAAAGCCTACACATCCACAGAGGCACCTAGTACAAATCAAACAGGAGAATTTAGCATTGAGATAGCTGAGTGATTAGCTTGTGACTAGTCACAGAAATGGCTATGTTAAAGTCAAAGCCTACACATCCACAGAGGCACCTAGTATAAATCAAACAGGAGAATTTAGCATTGAAATAACTGAGGGATTAGCTTGTGACTGGTCATAGAAATAGCTATGTTAAAGTCAAAGCCTACACATCTACAGAGGCACCTAGTACATGGACGCCAAAGGGGCTGCAACAACTCGACTATCATATAGTAAACTTGTGTTGTGGCCGAAACGTCGCGAGAATTTTATTGTGTTATTTTATTTTATTAATTTATTATTTTATTCTCATTCTACGTGACTTTACCGAAAGAACCAAAGAAGATGAATCCTTGCAGTCACGAACGCTTTAAATCCAACGTTCCATGTTTATTGGGAAGCCTAAATATAATACTGGCTGCTCACACATCTAAGCCATTGCCTACCCATGCATTTGCCTGTTGAGCTCTATCGGATGATATCAGACATTATTAAAAAGACTCTGGCCGTGTATGCACATAATTAAACTACAATATGTGGGGCCAGGCTGCTCTACAATTAATCCTATCACATTCTTAATTCCGTGTGTGTCCTGTATCACAAGTACAATTTACCTGTGCCATACAAATCACACAATTCAGTTACCTGATAGTCTTGTGGTCTCCCAGATGTGGGTTCCATCTTGGCATCTGGTTTTGCCCTGAACAATGTAAAGTAAACCAATTCAACTCTTAAACTGCTTGTCTATTGCACAATATATTACGAGCCTTTGATGCACATAAGCAGTGATAAACAGTCTGCCGGTAACACCACACATGGTTCCCCGGTGGCACACAACAACTGCATTACCAAATAAACAGTCATCGTATTGATTTTAAACATGCATTCACGGGAGACGTTTAAATTGCACTTATAACAGCGGTGAGAATATTTCTGAGGTTATATTGATGGCTGGCTGTATGTATGCTTGTATGAGAGCACTGTACACATCTAACCGTGCAGGTAGGCTTGGTGCAAGAGTCCAACTTCATTCCTCTTAAGAATTATGGAAGAAATCGCCTTAAGTTTGGCTGAGCTTAGTCCATTTACACTAACACCAATATATCCTAGGGTTTCAGTGTAAATGGACAAAGCTCGGCCAATTATTCTAGTAGTGACTTAGGCTAACTGGAGAAACGTGTAACCACCAGCAGATAAATAAAAACATTGATTGCGAAGGTACTTCTGCCTTAAATAATGACAGTGTTATGTTTGTATGTATGTTGAATTTCTTTCGCACTGTACGTGGCCAACCGTGCTAATTGGAGGTGCAGGGGGAAGAACAACAAACTAAACACAAAAAGCAGTTCTAAAGAAATTAGTTTTCAATCTAGATTCAATTATGACACTCCATGACGTCAACAGGCCGTTGTGCACATCTCTTTCATGAATGGAAAATTAAAGACAAGCCACAGTAGTGTGATTGTGGCCATGTAACCTGAGCCAAATAATACATCCACAGAGACACATAGATAAACAAAGACTCATACAGACCCATATAGACACAAACAGGCTCATTGGGACCCATAAAGGCACAAAATATATACATGTATCCTTCGATTTATGAACGTTTGGTTTGCGAAATTTCTCATTGTCGCAATTGACAATTTATTGACACTTTGCGATTAACGAAATCGAATTTCTGCGGGAAGGAAATTTCATACAGCATGCACCATGAGATAATCAAACAAGAATCCACTCGGGAGCCTGCCCATCTACCCTCCGTGCGTGACAATGTGTGAGAATATGAGTGAGAATGAGCCGTGTGTGAGCTGCGTGTGAGCCGTGTGTGTGAGTGAGCCGTGTGTGAGAGTGGCCGTGATGAGAGGGACTTCTGCGTTTGTGTGTGTGTGTGATGGTGTGGTGGTGTGCAAATCTGTATGTATGTGATAGTGTGGTGATGTGCACTTGTGTGTGTGATGGTGTGATGGTGTACACTCGTGTGTGTGATGATGTGGTGCTGTGCGCTCGTGTGTGTACCTGGCGCAGCCTGAGTGAGGCCTAGTTAATAGTGCGACGGACCACAAGCTGTGTTCGTGCACCTGGCGCAGTCTGAGTGAGGCCTAGGTAGTACTGCACATGACACAGCCTGAGTGAGGCTGAGTAAATAGTGCACCTGCCGCAGCCTGAGTGAGGCCTGGCTGGCAGGTACCTGGCGCAGCCTGAGTGAGGCCGAGTAAATCGTGCACCTGGTGCAGCCTGAGTGAGGCCTAGTAAATTGTGCACATGACACTGCCTGGGTGAGTCCTGGCGGATCGTGCTCCTGGCGCAGCCTGAGAGAGGCCTGGTTAATCATGCACAAGGTGCAGCCTGAGTGAGGCCTGGTTGACAGTGCACCTGGCGCAGCCTGAGTGAGGTCTAGTAAATCGTGCACCTGGCACAGCCTGAGTGAGGCCTAGTTAATATTGCCACGGACTCCAAGCTGTGTTCCTGCTAAGGCAACATTGCCGTGGACCCCAACCTGTGTTCCTGCTAAGGCATCATTACTACGGACTCCAAGCTGTGTTCCTGCCAAGACAACATTGCCACGGACTCTAGATTTGACGCTTTCATGACTGCAAGGATCCATACTCTTTGGTTCTATTCGGCAAAGTCATGTAGGAAAAAAATAAAACAACAAAAATCACGACGTTTTGGCCACAACACATGCGGCCTTCATCAGGTGAAGGGACCAGACTGTCTCGAGGACAGCGCTGGAGTTTAACACAGCCAAGCTCAGACCGCGACCTTTAAGCTGTGTGAGAGTAATTAAGGTGCCTTGACAAAGGAATTAGCATAAAAATTTGCATTTAATAGGCGGACTTAGCATGATGAAAGGTAGGGAGGGGATCGACCTGTGCAGGCTGGCGAGGGGGCAAGGTAGCGTCCACATGCTGGTGGTATGAAAAGGGGATGTTAAGAAGCTGCGAAAGTTTGGGGTACCACTAATTGAAAAATATACTGTACCATTGAAAATTAGTTTAACGTTTGGTTCGATTTAGAACATCTTTCCAATGGTTGCTTAATTTGAAACCATCTTCTCGGTTGAAATTGTATCTGTGTTTGTAGATCTGAATTGCCTCGTGAACAAATCTTTGATAAAAACCCGTGTGTTTGCAAAGAACCTTGGTATCGGAGAAAATTATATCGTGATCCCCCACAGCGTTGTAACAGTGATCAGCTACGGCAGAATAATTCGTTCTGCCGTGTTTCAAATCTGATTTGTGCTCGCGAATTCGGTCAGAGACATGTCGCTTCGTCTCCCCGATATAGCAATCACCGCAGGTACAACTCAATTTTTAAACCCCGGGGTACTGTAAGTCAGGAATGACATCCTTCACGGATGGGATCAGATCACGAATTTTGTATACTGTATTGAACCGGACCTGGATCTTGTGTTTGTTTAGAATTTTGGAAATCTTTTTAGTAACGCCTGCTATATATGGTAGTGTGATGGTTTTGACTGGAGTATCAAGTGGTTGTTTCTGTATGGGAGGAGAAACAGCTTGGCGGATGGTACGGTCAGAGTATCCATTCCTTTTGAGGGCCAGGTGTACATGTTTTAATTCACTGGTCAGGTGGTGTTGGTCCGAAATGCAATGAGCCCTATGGTATAAAGTTTTGATGAGATAATTTTTCTGAGCTGGGTGGTGGTGGGAATCAGGCTTCAAGTAGGAATCCGTGTGGGTGGGTTTCCTGTAGACAGAATGCCCCAACGAGCCATCAGGTCTCCTCTCAAACAGAACATCCAAGAATGGTAGCCTGCCATCCTTCTCCACTTCCATAGTGAATTTGATGGCGGGATGTCTGGAATTGATGTGGTGTAGGAAAAGGTTCAGAGCTGGGAGGCCATGTGGCCAAATGACGAAAGTGTCATCCACATATCTCTTCCACAGGGAAGGTCTGAGGGTGGAAGTCTGGATGGCGTCCGATTCAAATTTCTCCATGAAAACATTGGCATCACTGGTGACAAGGGGGAACCCATGGGAGTATCCTCATTTTGCTTGTAGAAGGAACCATTCCAAGTAAAGTTGAATGGTTTCCTTCTACAAGCAAAATGAGGGTACTCCCATGGGTTCCCCATTGTCACCAGTGATAACCAATGTTTTCATGGAGAAATTTGAATCGGACGCCATCCAGACTTCCACCCTCAGACCTTCCCTATGGAAGAGATATGTGGATGACACTTTCGTCATTTGCCACATGGCCTCCCAGCTCTGAATCTTTTCCTACACCACATCAATTCCAGACATCCCGCCATCAAATTCACCATGGAAGTGGAGAAGGATGGCAGGCTACCATTCTTGGATGTTCTGTTTGAGAGGAGACCTGATGGCTCGTTGGGGCATTCTGTCTACAGGAAACCCACCCACATGGATTCCTACTTGAAGCCTGATTCCCACCACCACCCAGCTCAGAAGAATTCTCTCATCAAAACTTTATACCATAGGGCTTATTGCATTTCGGACCAACACCACCTGACCAGTGAATTAAAACATGCACACCTGGCACTCAAAAGGAATGGATACTCTGACCGTACCATCCGCCAAGCTGTTTCTCCCTCCATACAGAAACAACCACTTGATACTCCGGTCAAAACCATCACACTACCATATATAGCAGGCGTTACTAAAAAGATTTCCAAAATTATAAACAAACACAAGATCCAGGTCCGGTTCAATACAGTACACAAAATTCGTGATCTGATCCCATCCGTGAAGGATGTCATTCCTGACTTACAGTACCCCGGGGTTTACAAATTGAGTTGTACCTGCGGTGATTGCTATATCGGGGAGACGAAGCGACATGTCTCTGACCGAATTCGCGAGCACAAATCAGATTTGAAACACGGCAGAACGAATTCTTCTGCCGCAGCTGATCACTGTTACAACGCTGTGGGTGATCATGATATAATTTTCTCCGATACCAAGGTTCTTTGCAAACCCACGGGTTTTTATCAGAGATTTGTTCACGAGGCAATTCAGATCTATAAACACAGACACAATTTCAACCGAGAAGATGGTTTCAAATTAAGCAACCATTGGAAAGATGTTCTAAATCGAACCAAACATTAAACTAATTTTCAATGGAACAGTATATTTTTCATGTAGCGGTACCCCAAACTTTCGCAGCTTCTTAAAATCCCCTTTTCACACCACCAGCATGTGGACGCTACCTTGCCCCCTCGCCAGCCTGCACAGGTCGACCCCCTCCCTACCTTTCATCATACTAAGTCCGCCTATTAAATGCAAATTTTCATGCTAATTCCTTTGTCAAGGCACCTTAATTACTCTCACACAGCTTAAAGGTCGCGGTCTGAGCTTGGATGTGTTTCACTCCAGCGCTGTCCTCGAGACAGTCTGGTCCCTTCACCTGATGAAGGCTGCTTGTGTGGTGGCCGAAACGTCGTGATTTTTGTTGTTTTATTTTTTACCTACGTAACTTTACCAAATAGAACCAAAGAGTATTTCCACGGACCCCAAGCTGTGTTCCTGCCAAGGCAACATTGCCACGGACCCCAGGCTGTGTTCCTGCCAGGGCAGCATTGCCACAGACCCCAAGCTGTGTTCCTGCCAAGGCAACATTGCCACGGACCCCAAGCTGTGTTCCTGCCAAGGCAACATTGCCACGGACCCCAAGCTGTGTTCCTGCCAAGGCAACATTGCCACGGACCCCAAGCTG